ATGCTCAGTAGAGACTTGCTGGAGCTTCACCTCTAAATTCTGTTTGCATTGAGTATGTTTCAGCCCAGGGCTGAACTGGACTTTCCCTACAATTGCAGCTCTGGGCTACTGCAGGCCGTGGTGAATCCAGGCCCCTAAAATTTGGGCAAAGAATTTCTCTCTCCTGTGTTCTTAATGACACCCCTTCTAGACCCAAACATTAATTGGGAAGCTGCCTGATTCAAAAGCAGAGAGCCAGATTTACTGGGACAAGGAGCCTGGGACTGACTGGGCAGAGACTGGGACATGGTCAGACTGTTATAACTCTTCAATGGCGCAAGCACTGGATACCTTCCTCTCTCCTTAGCTACTCAAAATGAACCATAGGACCTTCAAAAATGAAAGATGTTGGAATAGGTAGTATCACCTATACTGCACTTCTAGCTCAATCTCTCTGCTAACCAGTTATGGAAAAGTCTGAGGAATCAGACAGAGACTACAGCAATTGAAGGAATGAGAGAGGGTAATGACTTGAACAACCAGTCGGACAAGAAGGACCATTATTTATATTTAGCATCTATAGATATGGAGAACACTATTTCTCTTTCATGGAAAGAACTGTGGTTCATCCTAACCCTTCAAAATATCTGGCAACTGGCTGGCTGAATAGTAAATAGAAGCTCAAACAGCTGTGCCCTAGGAATGGACAGCTGTACCATATGAGATCTGCTGCTGAGCCATATGTTGTGAACACATGACCTACTGTTTGCTTGGATTACTGGTGGGGTGAAATGTGGTTTTGGGTACAGAGGACAGAAAAAATTAGAAACCTGAGATGTTATATTATAGAAGACCTAAACTACATTGTAAAGTTACATTCTTCACCTCTTTCCCTTTAATTGCTATAATTTATATATTGTTTTAGTGACTGCAAGTGGAATCTTCTACTTGACTAGTGTCCAGGAGATAACAGATGTGTGCCAACTAAGAACAATAAATCTGCCATTCAGAGCTAATCTAGATACTTATACATAGCACAATCAGTGGCAAAACAAAATATATTCTTCAACCAGATGTTTACCTTATTTTGCAAGAAATTTACCTGTTCAATCCATTACTCGAGAACATGATGTGATGGTGCCCCCCCAAAAGGCTTTATGAAAATATGCTTATGAATGTATATATGACATAACTAGAATATGTTTTATGCTACATATGCCATGTAACAATCTCTGTAAAGGTTATGATCTACTGAATCTATTAATCCTATTTTATGCATGTATCATTTTTGTATTTGAAGTTAAGAATATTGGCTTGATTTTTAAGTAACCTTTATAAAGCATTTGGTCAGTTTCTTGAGAAAGAAATGTGCAAATTAAGTGCCCAGTCAAGAAGCACTTAATGAACAATGGATCTTGGAATGCTCTAATCCACATAAGAAAGTCTACTTGAGGACGTTCAAGGAACATGTGAACCATGTTCTGAGTCATGCATGGACATGTGACTTGCCCATGTGACTCCAAAACTCCATCTTGTAGCTGGACTTCCACACAAAGGGAGGGAGGATTGTTCACCTACAAGAGAAAGTCTATTTAAACCCTGGGGAGACCCCTCCATTTGGTCTTCAGCTGCCTAAAGAGAGAGCCTCTCCACCCCCAAGGATACCTGAAAGAAACTGGAACAAAGGACAGTAACTTCAGGGGGTGAGTAATTGCTGGACCCAGACTAGAAGGAGAATAGTCTTTAAAAGGAAGCTTACTGGAAATCCTCTAAGGGTGAGGTTCCCGGCCAATGGGAGCTGCAGGAAGTGGTGGCCTGGCCTGCGCTGCTTCTCGCATCTCCCATTGGCCTGGGACGACGAACTGCAGCCACTGGGAGCTGTGAGCAGCCATACCTGCAGACGCTCAGGTAAACAAAGTGTCTCGCAACCCGCCAGGGGCTTACCCTGAACAAGCCGCAAACCAAGTTTGGGAAACCCTGCTCTAAAGTTTTACATTCTTTTGTTTTTGAATGCAGTTATTTTTTTACATAATTCTAAATTTATAAGTTCAATTTTCATGATAAAGAGATTACAATACAGTACTTGTAATGGGGGAATTGAAAAATACTATTTCTTTTGTTTTTTTACAGTGCAAATATTTGTAATAAAAATAAATATAAAGTGAGCACTGTACACTTTGTATTCTGTGTGGTAATTGAAATCAATATATTTGAAAATTTAGAAAACATCCAAAAATATTTAAATATATGGTATGCTATTATTGTTTAATTGTGCGATTAATCTTTTTTAATCGCTTGACAGCCCTAGTTTCCAGCTTTTGTATCTCTTAACCAAATCTTTTCAGACATGACCTGTGCGCTAATTCTCACAGGGGATTAAGTTAGTCACAAATGTAGATACTTAAAGCAAGCTATTTTCTAACTATGAATTCACAAAAATCACAAAGATTTTAAAACATAAAAAGTTGTTTTCCCCCCCAAACACAGAATTCAAAAATGGCTTATCTGATTTACTTCAATCTTCAAAAGCGATTACCAGTAACTAGTTACAGGATTAATCTGAGCTATGATACCTTTACCATAACGCAATAACCATTATCAGGGCTATGTACTAGCACCAGAGTCTGAACAACTTGAAGTGACGGCTCAGGCTTAAACATAAAAAAAGCGTCTGAAGTTCAAAGTTTATCTCAGGAGTCCTAGTTTAACACAAATAACACAAACTTGAGAAATGTCTCTGCCTTTATTAAGCTTTACTGTTAGGGAATTAAAAAACCAACCAACCAACCACCTTTCCCCATAATCCCTATATTTATATATTTTACCAGAATTCCCGATGCTAATGTTTGATCAAAAACACCTCTGTCTTCCCACAGGGGAAACGGCTCAGTCAGCTCCCCTTTAAGTGCACCTAATTAACTCCATATGGGAGCTCTTGAGAGGATTCTGAACCCTTGCTGCTTTGCGTTTAACAAAACAAAACAGCAGACACTCCAGCCTTAATGAGGCGTTTTTCTAGAGGTGCATGAAAAACCTGTACAACTTTCAGAATTTATAACAGAGCACTTCCTGTTTGCCTTTTCTGAACAAGAGTATTTGAAATAATCATATTGCTAATAAATACTGATTTTAATGACATGTCTATGGTAACCTGGTAAACACTTTTTTAATAGCTCTGTCTTTTGCAAAAAGTATACTCTTCAGTAATGTGTGGGGTTTTAAAACATGGAAGTGTGCTTTATTAAGCACACAGAGGGTTAAACTATGCTTAATAAAAGAGGGTTGCAGGACACCCTTGTGGAGGAAAAAGATGTACATAGCAGTAAACTATGCAGAAAAATGTGAAACTAGCATCTTGATTTACAGGCAAGGTACATGCCACTTAACCATATAAACAAGCAGTATCCTCTCCATAATCCCCTATCATTAAAACAGCAGTTTAGTAACCCTAAACATCTGTGCACGATGCAGTAACAGTAGCATGCACTACCTTTATCCCAGATGTATGCCACATTAACAGTAGCTACGGACTACGCAAAATTAACTCAATCTCTCTTCTGGTGCAGGAAAGACATTCTCAGGAATGAGATCAGCCTTCAGTTGCTCTTTGTGGCCTAAGTCCTATAAAGATTTACACACATGGTTGACTTTACACTGTGCATAGTCCCACTGAAGTCAATGGAACTACTTCTAGTATTAAAATTAAGCACGTGCATAAATCTTTCCAAGATATAGGATTATACTTGTATTGGTTGTTTGCATTTACATTGCAAGTTATTGCTGCCTAAGGTAGCATTAGTGGGCAATAAATTTGTCACGGTCTTAATTGTAGAGGAAAATAATTTCACAAAAATGTTCTCAGACTTTCAAAATTAAAAAAGTAAATCATTTCCATTGTTTGTTGAAAAATGGGTGAAAAATCAAGGAAAACATGAATTATTTGCTTTTGGGGATCAAATTTTGATTAAAAACAGAATCAAAATTTTAAATTAATTTTTATTGGCTTTAATTTTGATTTCCCCCCTATTTCTCCCACTTTCTCACAAAACACATTCTCATTTTGGTTTTGAGTACATTATCCCTGAGTGTAACAAATAAGGGTTTTAAACTGGCCGGTGGCTTTATATTACACAGCACAGGACCTTCTGAAGCTATTTGGTAGGAAGATGGGTCATTTTTCAGGATTGCCAATCCCAAGCACTCAAAAATCAAGAGCCATTCTTAAAATTAATGAGATTTTACATTAATAATTATTTTCAGTGGGGCTTAGAAGACCCTGCTGCTGTGCTAGGTGCTGTACAATCCCAAGGCAAAATAATGGTCCCTCTCCCAGGCAGCTTCTAAGCTTAGGAAACTGACACATTATGGGTAGTTCTTATTTGCCCTCTGGTTTTGGGGCCTTGGGGCTTCACAGCTGCAATGGTCCCGGCACCACCACGCGAGCTGGAAGCTTGCTTCAAAACATCCCGCAACTCCCAAACCACAGAACTGGCCGCGCTGCCTCCCGCCGCTAGGGGCGCCCCGCCCCACAGCCAAGGCGTAGCAGGGACCGACGGCTGCTTACACACAGCGAACCCCCGGCAGCGCGGCTCAACCCCGCCCCATCCCACGCAGCGACTGCACGCGAGAGGCTCGAGCGCTCTGCTGTCGACTGCGGCGCGGGTCGCGCGCACTCCGAGCCAGCTCGCGGGCCCCCAGCCCCGCCCAGAGCGCGCCACTTGACTTGGGGCGCGCATGCTCAGTCTCCCAACTGGCCGTGCCGGGTTTGTTGTTGTTGTTTTTTTTGCCCCCTTCAGCGCTACCGGTTCCGGGTCAGAGGTGAGGCTGCTTGACGCACGTGGCCGCGGGGTAGGTCGCCTCGCTTCTCTGCCTCTCAAGGCGCGTGCGGCGGGAGCTCGGTGAGACGGGCAGAGCCATCCCCCCCCTCCCGCCAGCTCCCGGGTGCTTGGGCGGCGGGGACCCCCCATGAGGCTCGGGCAGAGCCAGCGTCCCCCACTCCCGCCCCCCTCTCGGCCCGGCAGCGCTGGGGTGTCTGGCCCCTGCTGCATGGAAACACCCCGGGTGCTTGGGCAGAGCTTGTGCTCTGGGAAATTTTTCAGCGCGCTGGGCCCGGCCGCCGGGGGGTGATGAATTGCTCTGTGTCGGGGTGGTGGCGAGTCACCGGGAACGCAGCAGTGTGAACATACAAGAACTTGGTATGCCCCGTCCCCGCGCTACACCCGCGTGTGCCCGCTGAACGCCTTGGTACCAACTCGCCTTCAGTCAGTTGCTCTGGTATTTTATTGTCGGTAAACTCAGGCTCTGCTGAAAACTAGGGCAGAGATCAAATGCCGTTTGTTGCAGGGTTGCTTTGTTTGTGTGTGGTGAGTTTTATTTTACTTATTTTAACATTTAGGCTTTTGCCAGAGAAATATAAAAAATGACGTCCCTCGCCCACCAGCTGAAACGGCTCGCTCTCCCTCAGAATGACCCCAGCCTTTTGTCTCGAAGTGAAGCAGCATCCTTGCTGTTTGATTGCAAGGAAGCTGCCAATATTGACAGAGACACCTTCTTTGCAATAGGTAAGTGCCACGATTGAGACACTGTCAGCTTACAGAGTAACAGCCGTGTTAGTCTGTATTCGCAAAAAGAAAAGGAGTACTTGTGGCACCTTAGAGACTAACCAATTTATTTGAGCATGAGCTTTCGTGAGCTACAGCTCACTTCATCGGATGCTTAAACGCCACATTTCTGTCAGAAAATGTTATGATCTTCTGTCGTGGGTAACACTATGACTGAAAGTGATTAGAGGAAAAATTGTCCTATTTTTCTTTGTGCCTTTGAAAGCACTTCGATTTAGTTAGTTTTCTCTTTCTCTTTTATAGTCTCCCTATTTGTGTAAGTCTTTCCCACTGGAATGTAGGAGAGTAAAACTTCTTAAAATAGAAAAATGTGTTTGTAAAACCTCAGAAGTTACGAGAGAGATTCCGGGGCAAGCGTAGTACCTGAAACTACTTTTAACCTAGTTTATTAAATCGACCTCGTTTTAACATGATGATGACCTTTTAGCTTATCTCAATCTATATCTAATGTAACATAGGTATCTGTTAACTTTGAATTTAAGCACCAAGAGAATCCATGTATTTCAGTGGATCTCAAACTTTTGAACTGGTGACCCCTTTAACATAGCAAGCCTCTGAGTGCGATTTTCCCCTCCCTCTTTATAAATTAAAAACACTTTTTAATATATTTAACACCATAATAAATGCTGGGTGTAAAGCGGGGTTTGGGGTGGAGGCTGACAGCTTGCAACCCCCCCTATAATAACCTCACCACCCCCTGAGGGGTCCCAACCATCAGCTTGCGAACCCCTGATGTATTTGAACATTTGTTTCTCTCATGTCTCCCTCTGTTGGTTGGTTTCCTTGCTTTACTTGCACCCAAAGTCACTTTGCACTTAGTTTGTAGTATTTACAAGCCTGTCTACAATAATGAAATAGTTTTTTTTAAAATTTTATTATGCTGTAAAAGGAAGAACAACTCATTGGCTATATACGCTGTTCTTTGCATCATGCCTATGTATCTCATAGATCAGAAAATAATGTATTTTAGTTTAGTTCTAAAAAGTTTTTAATTTCTTATGCTTGTATTTTGGTGAAAAGTTATGCTGTACTTTTCCCCCGCCAATTTAAAAACTGTCTAAATGCAGCAAAAGCTCCGCTCCTAGACATGTTCAGTGATCGTCTGTAGAAAATTCCATTTTGGTTATTCTGCTGTGTGTTCTGTACATAGTAGACACTTAATACTTTTTACCATTGTTATAGCATTTTGCTCCTTGTAACATTCCTATAAGGCAAGAGCAATAAGTACTGATTTTACAGATGAAGAAACTGAGGCAGAGGGAGGGTATGATTTGTCCAAATTCACAGATGGAACTTTACTGTCAGAGTGGGAATTAGAATTACAGAGTTACTGGTTTCTACTCCTGTCCCCAGATCTCTAGTAAACTATGCTTGCCTGCTTGAATTGTTGTATCTATCTCTAGTGTGGCAAAATATACTTTGTGTAACAGTATGACATTACAGTTATGGGAGGGGGGAAAACATTTGACCATAATAGTTTAGTTTGCATGACTCATTCAATGAAAGTGATGTACAGGAGTGCAGTATGAAATAGCAGACTAATGTTGATGATTCTTCGATGGGTAGGAGAAGAATGTTTTGAGGTAGAGAACTTGTGTTGTGTTGTGTGTTAAACCATTTTCACCATTTTCTCTCCTAGGGTGCACTGGCCTAGAAGAGCTAATGGGGATTGATCCTTCTTTTGAGATGTTTCATTCTACTTTGTTCAGTCTCACATCAAAGGGCTTGGAACGCAGTGTTCAGACTAAAGCAGTAAATGAGCAGCTGGATGAGAATATTTCATCATTCCTGATTCATTTGTCTCCTTACTTCATGCTTAAACCAGCACAAAAGTGCTTGGAGTGGCTAATTCACAGGTAATCATATAAATCGCATGCATGTCAATAGATAAGTTTATGAGACACACACTTTTTTTTTTTTTTTTTTGTTAGAATAGTTTGGGTGTGATTTGAACTTAGATTCCTTGAACTACAGGTTCAAATCCTGGCACAATCAACTCAGATGTTCATCTTTACTAGGCAAGATAAATTTAGTTCCTTGCAAATTAGAATATGGGTCTGTTACAAGAGAATTTAACAAGGGTCTGTATGCTCTCTGGGACTATTAAAGATTCCATGGCATTCTGTGTATGGGTTTGTCTAATTGTCCTTTACCAAAGTTTCCCAGTTCTGTGGTTGGCTCTTCTGGGACGGAGAAGCAGCTGTTACATTTTGCAGGATTTTATGAGGTGTTATACCAATAAAATAAAAACCAGCAGGATCTTATTAAAGGGGAAAAGGCAAAATGCCACATTTATTGTGTATACAGGAAGAATCATAGTAAGCGGTTAGTTATAACTGTAACATTCCATTCAATTTCATATTTGTTCACACACACACGTTCTGCAAGGTTGTTATCATAGTTACCAGCCTTAGAGTTGCACATGCCAAGCCACTGGCCAGGTGGCCTAGACATGAGGAGGGAGCCTTGTCAGAAGCTCATCTGATGCTCCTGGAAGTTGGTTTGCAGAATCAGACCCCAAAGTTCTCCCTTTCTAGAGTCCATTTTTATAGGAATTTCTTCCTATGCCAGTCTATGGGAATTGCTTCATCATGCTGTTGCTGAATCAGTCAGCAGATGGCACAGTCCTGAAGGCTCCATGCTGCCAGATGTTATCTTGTTCTTTGGTTCTCCCATCCTTGAGGCTGTTGGGTAGATTCCAGTCTGCCCTCCGGGGGTCCTCTGGTTATTTCCACTTGACGCTTTCTTCAGCTGATGGACACTACATTCTTAGGCTGGCACCTCCCTGATCATTCAGTTATTATCCACACCAAGCATCCATCCACATACATCCTCTATCTCTCTTTTAATCACAATTGTTAACAAAGCGAGATGAATACGACAAAAGGGCGGGGAGTCTCTGGGTGCTGTTTCTGTTGTTAGAGTATTGCTTTGAGTCTCTCTGTGTCAGTAGTTTGTTGTTACAAAGAATTGCTTTGAGAACAGACTCTGTCTTAGAATGTACTAACACAATTAGCAGCTTGCAAGTTTCACACATAGAGGGAGAGAAACCGTACCAAAAACCAAGAGATCTCTTAATTAGTAATACCCTGGAATTTAAACTATGGGGAATCAAACTCATTTGTGATTTTTAATACAGAACTTCTTTAATATGATCCAACAGAGGCATTTATTTGATAACGTTCAGAATGAAAGAGGCTATGTAAAATTGATGTATTTTCAATGTAATATGTGAACTCTGTCTGGTATAGTCTAGTGTAATATATTGGTATGTGCTAAATATTTTTTAATTCCAAGGAACTGAAAAGAATGGGAGATAAAATGGACTAAATATTTTGTAATGTGCTACTGTCCTTATTTACATAAGATGTTTGCAAATATAGAAAGTGGAAAATATTTAATAATACTAAAGCATGAATGGCTGTTGCAAATGCATCCATTGGGTTGCAGAATTGCTCTGCCCTGTTATGCTGAAGCTCAAACTAGGTTATCATAATGATTCTCGCTGGCTTTAAAATCTTTGAAAATGAAATGTTTGTTTCCCTTTAACAAGAGTTGTCAATTAATCGCAGTTAACTCACGCGATTAACTCAAAAAATTAATCATGATCAAAAAAATTAATTGCGATTAATCACAGTTTTAATTGCACTGTTAATACAATACCAATTGAAATTTATTAAATATTTCTGGATTTTTTTCTACATTTTCATATACATTGTATTCTGTGTTGTAATTGAAATCAAAGTATATGTTGTTTTTTATTACAAATATTTGCACTGTAAAAATGATAAATAGTATTTTTCAATTCACCTCATGCAAGTACTGTAGTGCAATCTCTTGTTGTGAAAGTGCAACTTACAAATGTAGACTTTTTTTGTTGCATGACTGCACTCAAAAACAAAACAATGTAAAACTTTAGAGCCTACAAGTCCACTCAGTCCTACTTCTTTTTCAGCCAATCGCTAAGATAAACACGTTTGTTTACATTTACAGGGGATAATGCTGCACTCTTCTTATTTATAATGTCACCAGAAAGTGAGAACAGGCATTTGCATGGCACTTTTCAGCTGGCATTGCAAGGTATTTACCTGCCAGATATGCTAAACAATTGTATTGGCCCTTCATGCTTCGGCCATCGTTCCAGAGGACATGCTTCCATGCTAATGACACTCGTTAATTAAATTTGTGACTGAACTCCTTGGGGAAGAATTGTATGTCTCCTGCTCTCTTTTACCCACATTCTGCCATATATTTCATGTTATAGCAGTCTCGGATTATGACCCAGCATGTGTTTGTTTTAAGAACATTTTCACAGCAGATTTCACAGAATGCAAAGAAGGTACCAATATGAGATTTCTAACTGACCCGAGATTTAAGAATCTGAAGTGCCTTCCAAAATCTTAGAGGGACAAGGTGTGGCGCATGCTTTCAGAAGTCTTAAAAGAGCAACACATTGATGCGGAAACTACAGAACCTGAACCACCAAAAAAGAAAATCATCCTTCTGCTGGTGGCATCGGACTCAGATGATGAAAATGAACATGCCTTGGTCTGCAGTGCTTTGGATTGTTATTGAGCGGAACCGTCATCAGCATGGACACATGTCCACTGAAATGGTGGTTGAAGAATGAAGGGACGTGTGAATCTTTAGCGCATCTAGTACATAAATATCTTGCAACATCGGCTACAACCGTGCTATCTGAACACCTGCTCCCACTTTCAGGTGACATTGTAAACAAGAAGTGGGCAACATTATCTCCTGCAAATGTAAACAAACTTGTTTGTCTTAGCGATTGGCTGAATAAGAAGTAGGACTGAGTGGACTTGCAGGCTCTAAAACTTTACATTGTTTTATTTTTGAATGCAGGTTTTTTGTACATTATTCTACAGTTAAGTTCAACTTTCATGATAAAGAGTGCACTACTGTACTTGTATTAGGTGAACTGAAAAATACTATTTTGTTTTTTACAGTGCAAAGATTTGTAATCAAGCATAAATATAAAGTGAGCACTGTACACTTTTTATTCTGTGTTGTAATTGAAATCAAAATATGTGAAAATATAGAAAACATCCAAATATATTTAAATAAATGGTATTCTCTTATTGTTTAATAGCGCAATTAATTGCGATTTAATTTTTTTTAATCGCTTGACAGATCTACTTTTAACTAATTAGAGTAGAAAGACAATTTCCCTGTGAGCAGGTTATTCCATAACTGCTGAGTGCAGGGTGTCTTGCTTTTTGGACTGAGCATCTGGTCCTGGATGCTGTCGGAGACAGTATACAGGTCTAGATGCACTTCATGCCTGATTCAGCATGGCATTCTATGTTTCAGGTTTTTATTTGCAACCTGTGTTGCAAGAATAGCATGTATGGACCTCGTGCTATGAAATTTCTGATTGTCTTTTTTCCTTAGGTTTCATATCCATCTTTACAACGAGGACAGTTTGGTTGGTTGTGTCTTGCCGTACCATGAGACTAAATTGTTTGTGAGAGTTATTCAGCTGTTAAAAATTGGAGACCCAACTCATAAATGGAATTGGTTGCATCCAATTAAGGTAAAATAGCTAAAAGATACAGTTCAGAGGATGTATGAGAAATAGAACTTAGTAAGGTCCTGGTCCTGATATTGTATCTATTATCATGCACCTCCTCCCCCCAATCCCCTGTTTGCAGCTCCATGGATGTGGGTCGTGGCTACAAGATTCTGTTGCAGCATTGGGACTACAACGTCCACATGTTGTTCCTGATCTCTCTCTTTAAAGGAGAATTCATTACAGCCCTGGTTTTGGCAAAGGAAAAAAAATCTGCTTTTTATTATGCAGTATGTTTGCAGTCAACTTGGAAACATATAAAATTATATGTACAACTAATTGATATAAAATTAAGGGGATGAAATGAAGTCCGGTGAGAGGAAACCATTACTTGTTTCAGTTTAAATCAGGATATCTGTGATCATTTAATATGGTTTGGAGAGATGAATGAAGTTTGTGTGTGTGTTTGATTTCACTTTAGCATATTCTAATTTTATTTATATTTTTTAAATCCCTTTTCTTTTATTTTTGTCTTGGACAGAAACCAGGAGTCCCCCTTGCTAGGGGTGCTTTGATTACACACTGCTACAAAGACCTGGGTTTCATGGATTTCATTTGCAGTCTGGTGACAAAATCTGTAAAGGTTGGTAAATTGTTCTAGTTCTGCTTTCTGTCTGTGTGTCTCTTCCCCCTCCCCCCTTATGTATTTGCATCATGGTGTGCTATTTTTGCACATTCTGAATTGTGTAGCACTAAACGTACTCAATACACAGAAGCGTCTGAAAATCTTTTTTCTTTGCGCCCACTCTGATTTACAGAGATGTTAGAACCTAATAGAAATTAGTGTAATATTGTCATTGGGAACAGTATTGAAAATTCTATGGATCAGACCATTGGTCTTTCTGCTCTGATGTGTTGCTTCTGGTGGTGGCCAATATCTGAGGCAAAATTGGAAAAATCCCGAGTGGGAGAGACAAAATGTGCGGTTGGCTAACTTCAGCACTGTATATACAGTGAGAGGTAAAGGGGAGAGGGCACTTTAGCTGGAGGAGGCTGGGGCAAAGGAGATTTGTTTCTTGGTTAATGCAGGAAATTGACTGATGGCCCAGAGTGACTCCAGAAGATTTTTACTGTAATCCTTATGGAGAAAATTGAGATGCTTTAAGTTTATTTAAAAAAAAAAGAAAAAAAGCTACCTGATTCCTGTCACGCTGTTTGAAAATAATTTTTGCGCTTGGGCACCTCTTCGTAGTTGTCATGGCTATTTTAAGTTTGTGCTTTGAAATGTTAACAATAGTTTTAAATTGTGGATGTTAGACCCATTGATCTCAAGGTGGTAGAAAGAATCATAGTTTTAAATCACTGGCCCAAAAAAACCCAAAAACCTTGTAGTAATAAAATCTTAGAAGAAAGACAGATGTAGCAGTTACATTTTCTTAAAATTTTGGAATATGCCAAGATAAGCAAAATGCAGATACAGTGGATTACGCTTATTAGCAACTTCTCAGTTCCTGACAAAGAGTTGCTGTTATTTCGAAGTTGCCAATAAACGACAAAGTAGGTTTACCGGGCTGCAGCCAGGAAAGGAAGCTCTGGGGCTTGCCGAGCATCAGCCGTAGGCATGTTTGCAGAGTTGCAGCTAGGAATGGCACATCCTAGTGCTTCCTTCCCTGGCTGCAGCCCCTCAAACCTGCCTGCAGTCAGGGCCTTTCTTTCAAAAGAGTTCAGTCAGTGGCATGCCATTGCCAGTATCCAAATCTCATTAACAATAAAGTCAATGGGCCAGGATTGGTTCCTGGTGAAATGTTGCTGTTAATCAGAAGTTGTTAATATCAGAAGTGCTATTAAGCAGAATCCTGTAGTAACAGGAACTCTTAACATGAGACCTTAAATACTTTAATTATGTTTTTGATCATCATCCTAATGCCTAAGTAACTATTTCCCCTTCATTCTAGATCTTTTCTGTACATGATGGCAGCGTCTCTCAGTTGAGGGTCCTGTTTACTTTTTACGCCTCCACCATTGTGTCTGCTCTTGGTGCTGTAGAGAAGATAACAGACACTATAGTCTCCAAACTGCTCCCTTACGTACAAAAGGTACCCAGTATTTCATTCTCTTGCATGATACAGTGTGGCTTATTTTGCCAGCTAGAATCCTGTAATTAGCTTCCAAAAGGGATTTTCTCCCTGGAATAAATTAGAAAAGAGACTAGGTAAACAAAACATAGCTCACTTTTCTGTGTTCCTGTGGCTGCTTCTGCTAACTATGAAAGATGTACAATACCTGTTTACCTCACAATCCTGCATGATGGAGTAAACCTTGACCAGTTCAGGATTGCTATTGTTGGACTGTATAAGGAGCTGTGTCCGCCTGGCTTTGATCTGATATGCTTCTTGTAATACGGCACCTCAAGGCTGAGGGAGTCTGGATAACCATAGCTAAAGCCCTCCCAACTTCATTGGCCGTGAAAAACACGTCGTGGACTGTGAAATCTGGTCTTTTGTATACTTTAGTGTACAGATTTCATGGGGTAGATCAGCCTTTCTCATTCTGGGGGTCCAGACCCAAAAGAGAGAGAGATGTGGGGAGGGAGGGGGAGGTTGCAAATTTATTGTAGGGGGAGTGTGGTATTGCCACCCTTACTTCTGTGCTGCGTTCAGAGTTGGCAGTGGCAGGAGAGCAGTGGCAGCTGGCCAGGCGCCCAGCTCTGAAGGGAGCACCCTGCCAGCAGCAGCGGAGAAGTTAGGGGGCAATACCATACCTCTCCACCCTCACTTCTGCACTGCTGCCTTCTGAGCTGGGTGGCTGGAGAGTGGTGGCTGCTGACTGTGGGCCCAGCTCTGAAGGCAGTAGCGGAGAAGTAAGGGTGGCAATACCATAACATACCATCCTTCTGCGCTGCTGCTTGTGGTGTCTCTGTTTACCCGCTTTGCTACAGTGTTAATGAGCATATGTCTTTTTTTCTCTGTCTAGATTTGAAGTTTAATTAGCTCACTAAAGCTTTAACATGATGAAAAGGGGATAATGCAATTGCATTAGTGTTGGCCAAAGAGTATCCTGTACCATTATTTAGACAGACTTTTTTTAAACTTAAACTTGGCAGAAACGCACTTTGAATTCTTTCTCTCTTGGTAGGGTTTGAAATCCTCTCTAGTGGATTACAGAGCTGCAACCTACATGATCATCTGCCAGTTGGCAATGAAAGTGACAATGGAGACCTCCTTGGTGCAGTCCTTGACATTACAGATCAGCAAGAATTTGACCAAAACACCTTCTCTAGCCAGAGAAGGATTGGCCTGCCTGCTCGTTCTTCTTCAGAACCAAAAGGGAGAGGGTCTTGGGAAAAAGTAAGTATACATGAGTTGACAGATTCCCTCTTAATAGTTGAGTCCTAAATATCATTAGTTTCCATCTTTAAAAGGATTCTGTCATTACCATAGGGTGGTCACAGCACTATAGTTAAGGCTGAGACTACCATACTGTTTGACAGTCAATATTTCAAAGTGCTCTAAAATCCACCTGCGTAATCAAGATTGTTTTGAAGATTTCTGTGTCTCGTCAGGGGTAGAGTTAGTGGTACAAGTTTGAGGTCTTTTTGTCCAGGTGTTCCTCAGATATAGCTCCTCCCCAGAAATAAGCTGCTTGTAATATTCAGGTATCAATCGCAAAAGCATGAGGAGATTAGCTTGAAAACTGGCATGCCACAAGAGAGGCTAGGGTAGAGTCCATAGTGCACATTTGGGGTAACTTGGTCAGTGGTTTTCTGAGTTACAGCCCCCCTAAAATGAGCTGCTTATAATATCAGGTTCTTATTTTTTGATGCAGAGTTAGAAAGAATTTTTCTTGACATGTATAGCATGGGCTGCTCCTGGGAACGGATATTGACCAGTACTAAGAACCAGTTCAAAAATATTTCTGAAGTTACTGCACTCCGGAAGCTTTATTGCTAATGCTTATTCATCTGTGAGAGCTATTGTTTCCTCAGAAACTCCTTAGAGAGTGAAACACAGAGTAATGTGTTCACATGGTGGCTTAGAGGAACAAGCACTTGAATGCCAGAGCCATTAGTTAGAATCCTCTTCTCTGGAGTTCTGCATTTGGAGTACGTTAGTGTGGTCAACCCACCTTTCCCTTGGTGTTCGGGGCCATTATGGTGCTCCTTTTGGAAGTGTTAGTGGTGTATGCAATTCTGAGGAATTTCAGCATCTACTTATCTGCCCAAGTCCTTCCCTGGGACGGTTTGGTGGGCAAGACTGTGTCCAGGATGTGAAGCCTGGGGTGGGGACAGAATGATACGGAGGAACTAGTTGCCACATTGCAGATGATAGCAGAGAGGCCAGAGCAAGAGTTCCAACCAGAAATGAATCAGTTCTCTGGTGGGATAGGTTTGCTGAACTCCTGCTGGGCACTGGGAACAGACATCCTTGGTGCTTGGCACAGGCACACAATGCTCATGCAGTATGGAAAGCTGGTAAGATGCATAATCAATGTGTGGCACAGCACCCAGGCACTGAGGCGGGGGTGAGAATATCCACTCAGATGAATGGAGCACTTTGCAGTAGCTCAGAGCTATTGTTTCAGGTCTCATTCATTACCAAAAGGGTGTCGTCCTTCCATCTGACCACATCCCATTGAGATGAGTATGCCTCTGCAATCCTTCTGCTCCCTTTCCCCTTATATCCGCCCCAGAGGCCATGCAGAACAGTCTGCCACCCTGATCAAAACTTCGGTGTGCCACCCCCTCCTCATAGGCCTCGGGTGGCAGATTTGGCCTGGCTGCCCCAGGCAGCTGCCTAGTTCACATGTAACTAGAGAGGCCTCTGCCAACCCCCTTTTCCTCCCCCCTCCCCTGAAGTGGAGTAGAGATTCTGGGGCTCCCCTCCCTTTAGCTGGTAGATGTGCTCTTTGCAGCCCACAAGTTACCACCTTCCCTTCTGCCCTTGGATCACCTGTCCTAGCCCAACTGGGCACTGGAGGGGGCGGAGCTAGTAGTTGAATGGTGGTGAGGTCTTCTAAGGAAGACCCACTCATCTCTCCCCAACACATACAAGTACCCCTCAATCTTTCCCTTTTCCCTACCACCACTACTTATAGATTCATAGATTCATAGATATTTAGGCCAGAAGGGACCATTATGATCATCTAGTCTGACCTCCTGCATAATGCAGGCCACAGAATTTCACCCACCACCCTAAAAAAGACCTCACACCTATATCTGTGCTATTGAAGTCCTCAAATTGTTCAAGAAACATGGGAAGTAGACTGCCCAAAAACAAGGCACAGTTAGGGTTGATTGGCAGTACCTTGTACCTTTGCAGAATGTGAAATGCACCAATTCTTAAACCGGTGAAAACTGGGAAATGCATCCCCTGTAACCCTTTTTATTTTTTTTATTTTTATTTTTTTCATTGAGGGTGAGCCACTTCACAATATGATGTGGACAGTTGAAAGTTCTATATAATAGAAGGTGATGGCTAAGCTATAACCCAGAGCAATATTCAGTCTTTCTTTTGGTGTTCTCCTTTGCAGGCCATTTCGTTACCTGTGTAACATTCCAGACCTGGTTACTATCCTGCATGGCATTTCAGCTGCATATGATGTCACTCCCCTTCTGCGTTACCTGCTGCCGCACCTGGTTTGCTCCATTATTGACTGCGCTACTGGTATATTAGCATGTGCCCAGTGTTTTTTCTGGGTAAACCCTTGTAGCAACTTCGCTAGATAAATCAGTTTTAATTGTTCCTGATGATAGACTACTCCAAACTGTGAGGAACTGCTCGTGGTCGTCTTTCTATGAGGCTTGTGGAATAGCTTTGTTTTTTTTAAATGCAACAGCAGATTAGTGATGTGCTAGGCACCTAGATATTCATTTGCAGTGCCCGGTGAGACTAGATCTAGTGAGAGCTAGTCTAATTTTACGAAGATCCTTTTCAAGTGCTGCACATAGAACGTCGCTTGAGAGACCATATGTAACAGTTGCCACAATTTTTACTCCAGCCATATAGTGATAATACTGAGCAGCTCGTAATATTTAATCATTGAAAGATCTATAGGAAATAAATAACCTTTATGGTCCCCATTTTACAGGTTGGGAAGGTAAGGTACAGCACATGGTTACTTGACTTGACCAAAGGCACATAGCAGGATAGTGTTACAGATGGGGTACGTTCCAGTCTCCCATTTATGTGCTTAATCTACAAGAAACTGCTGTCTCTTTTTTTTCTGTGGTTGTTGGTGTAATAAATGTAGAGAGTTTATTTTAAAACAACTGTTCATCTTGCTTTTAAAAAATGTCTAATTGTGTGTTTCTTCTTAAGAGGGGCATGAGGAATCTGAAGTGACAGATAACCAAATCTATAAGAGACATCTAGAAGCCATACTTACAAGTGTAGCACTGGAAAAGGATTTAGATCGCCTTTTGGCCTGGTGAGCTAATTTCGATTATTTTCCACAATGTATGTTAACTTCAGCTACAATAGCACCTAATTTGTGACAACATAATTAGCATTGTGTCAGAATGTCTGTTATCTTCCCAGCTTTCATGGGTTCCTGACGCGCCCTGATCCTGCAGACACATTGGTGTTTGAACTCTGGGTGTTTGACTTCACTGGGATGACTCCTTTGAGCAGAGTTAAATACATGGATAAGTCTTTGTCGACTTGGGGCCTTACAAAGAGAAATTTACTTCGGGGATGAAATTTAAACTCAGAAGAAAACCTGTATTTATAACATATGCTATGAATCACAAAAACTATTCTATTCGTCTCAATTAATAATGCTGACGATTAGTGTTGTCTTGTCTACATGTCTGTTTTATTTGTGTTTTTGTCACTTTAGTAAATTTCTTGAAGAGTTTATTTCCTATGGTGTGGAGAATGAATATGATTCCACCAAAATGGCTGTGCTCAATAAACAACTTCTTCCTCTCATCAGACTTCTTGAAAGAAAGTAAGTTACTTTTTATTTCCTATGCATTTTGTGCAGTATGAAAGTATGGTAAGTCAACTGTGAATCAATATATTCTTCTGTTAGTAATTTGTGTTCATATGGCATTTACCTAGGGTACCTTTATCCTAATTGTGACTTCATACTTGTCACTTAGGTATGCTGAGTGATTTATGTAAGCATAATTTTGGTCTTTACAGTACATGTAATTAAAGCCAAATCTATCCTTGTACATTCCCCATCACCTTAATATCTGAGCACCTCAGTTGCTAGCCTCTCCCAGCACTCTTAAGTTATACTGAGCCTTTTCTGTTAATCATTTATACTAGTGGTTCTTTATATTATTGACCAGCTTTATGAAAACACCATCAGATTAATACCCTTTGAAGAATTACTTGTAAGTGGATGAAGCTTTTTTTAAACAACTAACAAAATCATCCAAAGCACGGGACATGGTGGTGATGGGGGACTTCAGCTACCTAGATGTCTCTTGGAAAAAAAATTATTATTACCATAATAATACCTTGAGTATTGCTCATTGCATTCACTGACAGTGCTATTTTAAAGGTGAAATTGTAAAAGGAAGATCTGCCTATTTTAGCTATGTATTTTTTATCCCAGCTGCATCTAAAATGATAGTACCATAGAGTAACAATTATATTTTTTGCTCAAACATGAAAATTCAAGAATAGTCCAGAAGGAAGACAGGTAGTCCTTAAGAAAGGAGTATGAAATAAAAAAGTTCACCAACATGAAGATCCTGCATGTTCAGACATGTTCTGTTCATCATCTTCAACGCAGCTTCCTCCTGAGAAGGAACACTTCTCATGATGTTGTTTTATTTGGGCCACCAGGCCTTGTATTTCTGTGTTGTACTGTTTGCATTTTGCACACATGCCGGTCTTACCCACAGGTAGAGGAACTTCATTTAAAATATTCCCAAACTGGATTTCTTTTATGGCCTGCTGCCATTATAGGTTTGCCCTTCTAGTGAGAGAATGGTACTGTAGATCTCAAATCAATGAAGGCTATACTCAGAAAAACCTCAAGACTTCGGGAATATGCTGCTCAAACAGTTTCACTTTTGTTTCTATTGCCTGTCCCTCCCTTCTCACATTTTCTCCAGACTTCTTCTCCTTGTCCAGATCTATTCCGCCCCCAACCATCTTCTGTTCATTGAACTTTTTGAATCTCTGCACTTTTAGAGAGAAGTAAGGGTTTGACTTTGTGTACACAAGTTTGCAGAGGGACAGTAGGGTTGAGGTCTGTTGTTTCTCATTTCTAGGTATTATTTATTTACAAACATTTTTGCTATTAATAAAGTATGTTATCTCTGGAGACACAAATCCACAGTTTGAGAACTGCAAAACTAAGCATCTCTGGTGGTATCTTCTAGACTGAGTACTGAGTCCCATTGGGTAGATAGAAAGGTTAACCTAAATAATCTATACAAAAGCCCCTGGAACCCCATAAGATTGGGTCCCTTAATCTGTGAACTTTTGGAACTCATTTACAAAACCTTTTTTAAACATTACATGAATATATTGTCTCATACTATAGAATTAGAATTTATAATCCCTATTCCATGTTGAGATAAATTATAGCTCAAAGATATCTTAATTAAAACTATCTTTAGACAGGCTTTTTCTTCAAGAAGCATTTTATCCCAAAAATCCAATTTTATTTATTTATTTTTATGTTATTTTATTTTTGAAATTAGTGATATCCATCCTGGAGAAGACTGAGAAGCGACATAACAGTTTTCAAGTACATAAAAGGTTGCTACAAGGAGGAGGGATAAAAATTGTTCATAACCTCTGAGGGTAGAACAAGATGCAGTTGTCTTATAAATTGCAGCAAGGGCAGTTTAGTTTGGCCATTAGGAAAAGTTTCCTAACTGTCAGGGTAGTTAAGCACTGGAGTGAAGTGCCATGGTAGTTTGTGGAATCTCCGTCATTGGAGATTTTAAAAAGCAGGTTAAGCAAACGGATGGTCTAGGTAATACTTAGTCATGCCTTGAGTGCAGGGGACTGGAATAGAGGATCTCTCGAGGTCCATAGAATCAGTCCTATGATTCTGTGATTCAAACAAGTGTTCCAACATTCTGTATCCTCTGCATGTATTTCTTTTGTAATTGGTGCATAACTTCTATAGTAATTCTCTGTGCAGAACCTGTTTCTCTTGGTTGTTGGCAGATATCCTAAAGCCTTAGACTTGGTACTGGAAGAGTATCTGAAAGATGTTATAAATCAGAATGAGCAAGATCTTTTCCACCAATTTATCTCTCTCTCAGTGAGTGGCAGTAAATATCAGGTAGGTAAGGACCCAATTTCTGGACCTAAATCAACTCTGGTATGGTGCCTTGAAGCCAGTAGTATTATACTGGAATGTATCTGTCGTTTCTTGTCTCTCTCTCTCTCTTTTTTTTTTTTTTTTTCTTGCATTGTGACTGATTTAAGTGCCATTGTGCTTGATCAAAACTGTGATAATGTCTACAATTATCAAATGTAAAGAGCAACTTGAATAAATGGCTAGTAGCTTATATTGTGCTGCTTTGGTCATGATTTTCTGCTGTGTTGTGATAAGGTCACATGTGCCCCAGTGTTACTTTGGGACATTGTCAATGTCTTGCAAGCTGGACAGAACTGTCAAAATTAGAAAAGGTGGCAGCGGAGTGACGACCATTATTCTAATCAAGGAAGGTTGTGAAGACATTTTTCATAATGTTATCGTGTTGCTTTTTACTCATTTCAAAGGCTGATGATATTCAGTGACTAGAGGAATTTAGTGACTCCAAGCTTCTTAGCATGCTGTCTCCAAAGAGAAACAAAGCCTGGGCATATCACATACCAGTGCACAGCAAAATCATTTGTACTCCACACTTTTTTTGTCAAGAAAACATTGTGTGGTTTTGTTTTTGTTTTTTTTACATTCTTTTATAGCTAAATTTCTTCATATTCAAAGCTGGCTACCTCCAAATCAAACATGCAAACTGGTAAAGATTATGGGCCATTAAAAGCCGTGTTTCAGACACTTTAGGCCAATTCAAGAAAAACATAGCTGCATAAATAGCGCAGATTTTATAAATGGGTGGCCAACTGATGAAATCATGGTATGTAAAATTAGGACACAGGACTCCGTGTTCAAGCAACTTCAGGGTTGCTGAGATAAGCTGCGGGCATCTGGTCTATTCGAGTTACCTTCTTAGCTGCCTCTATCTGGGTTCAGTCATTCAAGTTTTCTCAGAACCCTTAGATAAATGCAGTGTGGGCGCTTCCTTACCTTGGCAGAGTGAGAATTTAGGGCTTGTTTACACATGGACAACAAGGAGTCCGGTGGCACCTTAAAGACTAACAGATTTATTTGGGTGTAAGCTTTCATGGGTAAAAAAAATCTCTTCTTCAGGTGCGTCTGAATCGCAATTAATCGCAAAGTTTAATTGATTAATTTTCAACATACATTGAGCAACTGTGCAATGTACATTTCAGTTTCTGGAAGACTCGGATACCTCTCTGGTGCTTAGCCTGAATCATCCACAGCCACGTGTCAGAGTCTTGGCTGTTCAGCATTTGAAGGAGATCATTGAAGCATCAAAGGTTGGTACCTCTGTCTCTCATTTAAAGAAGTTAAATGTCTGTCTGTCTTCAGAGGGTCTTTTTATAGAAACTTTAACTGAAGACAAGACAAACATCACACTAAAATGTGACAAATACATTATCCTTAATGTTGTTTTCAATCAGTTCGGTTGTTGTTTCTTTAAACTTGGATCCTGTCATCCAGAATCTGGGTTTAATTCCAGTTTATGAAGCTGCTTGTGGTCCCACAATGGAGTCTGATACTTCTGTTTCTTTCTTCCACTGGTATTAGCAGTTAGCATCCCCCTAACTGAGGCTTTTATTCTCCTGTACTTGAGTTCATATGTCATGAAAGTTATACTGCCAAGAAGGCTTTGGAAACTAATGTTGCTTAACTGCTTTTCCCTCTTTGTTCAGGAGGGCTTTGACAAGTCCTTCATAGAAGAAGCCATTTTTGCACGACTTATGGATGACAACGTGGAGGTTGTTATGACTGCTCTCAGTGCCTTGGAGGTAAGTCAATGTTTCCTGATAGGTCAAGTGAGATTTTAGCTATTTCTCTATATTCAGAAGCAGTCTGGAATTAATGCTTTATATTAATTGTGCCTTCCCTTCCACTGACCCCACTGGCATTGACGAGAATTTGTGTGTAGCTCTGTCCTTTTAATAGGACCAAGAAGCAAAAAGCTAGCAGACTATTCCTTACTTTACATTTTTTTTTCTCTTCTTGGAGACTACTAAACCTAGGGTACTGTGTTGATCTGGTCACTAGAACATATTTTAATCCAGAGTTCTGCTCATCCTATAAACTACTCTGTCCATTTTATGCAAATAAATAAGAGGATCCTTCAGCCCCCTCCCAGAAAAGCTCTAGGTGTTAGGAAAAGACATCTGTATCAAAGTTTTTTGGTCTTGGTAGGGATAAGCATGCATGCATTCTTTTTTTTTTTTTTTTAAACACAGTTGATTAGGCAGGACTTTAGTAAGTATGTCTCTAATATTTCTACATCAGGCAATACTGTATGTTGTGGGAGAAGAGATCATTACATAAACTATTTTTAATTATTACATCTATTAGTATTTCTGGTAGGATTTTTCCTTGTGACAGTTGTAGAGTGGTTGATTTTAAGAAATGGTATACCAATGACAACAAAGAGAGATGAACAGAACACATGAATGATCAGAAATAAAACTTTTTGTTAGCATGTGTTGGGTTTTTTTTATTTGCATTTAACAAATACTACATAGAGGAAAAACTTACTTCATTATGAAACATTCTGGTTGTTTCAAAATCAATGCATTTTCCATCCAGCTGTGCATTCAGACCATATTCTTCATGGATCTAGTAAACCAGAGCTTGCTAGAAGTTACTTTAATTTTCTTTTTCCTTATAATAAACATACTAGCTGATCAACATAAGTTCACTTATCAGTGTTTAATTTTTCTACTTAATATGATCAGTGATGCACTTGCTATCACAGTTTCATAGATTATCTTATATCTTGTATATTGGTCATTTAATTTTTGCATCCGTTGATTTGTTTGTAGATTTACAAGGGACAGATCAGTCCAGAAATAACTGTTTCAAGTCTGTTGACTCTATTTCAAAGAGTTGATCTTTCAAAGAACGGGAAGTGGTATGTGCCTGTGTTTCTTTTGTCTTCCCCTTTCTCCCCCCCCAAGCTTTTAATATTAATGGATGGAGCTTGGGTTGTGAGGTGGTTGTTGCGGGTGGTGTGTGTCATATCTTAACTTTGGATTCCTTTAGTTGTGGTAATTTTATAGTGGTAATTTTATATTGAGAGAGATTTGAAATTACTTGATATTTTTTGTGACTTTCATTTACTCTCTGGCTTGCTATTCAAACTCTAATTTGAATCAATAGGAAATAGAAACAATTTGGAGAAATGTTATTGGTGATGTAATCAAGTGGTGCTCCTTCAGCGTTTTTTTTTTTCTTTTTTCCTGTGTTCTAGGTATAAGGTTCTTGAGGGAGCAGTAAACATTTTATTCAAAGAAGAGATTCTGAATGAGAGGGAAGAGCTATTAAATCAAATAGTAATGCAGTTGCTACCATTTATGGTAATCACTAATAATAATTCAAAATCTGCAGAATGGAAAATGGCAGTTTGTCTATCAGAATCTGGCCTCTGCTCCCTACATCCTTTGTTGAAGGGCTGGCCAGAAGGTAAGCTGTTAAAAACAATTGGTTTGAGTAAAGAAAAAGTATTGGACATTAGAACTTGATACTCATATAGGTGGTAGAGAGCTGGGCCACCACTAAGAAGTTATCACCCCTAATGTGTGTCTAAAAGCTTTGGAAAGTGGGTTATGTATTCATACATTAAACTCTTGTGATTTATTTATTCATTTATTACTCAAATTTAAAGAAATACTTTGATATGAAGTGGGATTTTTTTTCTTTTGTTTCATTTAACATCTATAATTGTAACTGATTTGAGGAGACTTTTTTTGGGACTTTGATTTGCCATGTTGAGGCCAAGTCATCTGGACTTTAATGATGCAAAATTCTAGTTGAATTCAGGTTTAAAAGGAACTTTAAACAATAGAGGAAACAGTGAAACGGGGGTGGCTGACATGTTGAGTAGTGGGATCTTTTTTATTTTTGAAAGAATAACATGTTCTTAGAATAAACTCTTCTGATGCAAACAGAGGAGTGGGATTAAGCAAGGGAGGTCAAGAGGCAATGCACATGGAAAGCTTCAATAGTTTGAGAGCTTAGTAAAGAAAAGCAAGGATGTTGGTGATAAGAAAATTAATTGCTTAAAGTGTTTAAATATTTCTAAATATTGTCAAGCTATCAGTGTTTTCACTTGTGATTCATGTATCCACCTTTTCTGTTTTATGGAAATAGCGTTTGAAAAAGTGATAAAATCCATCAAGTCTGCAGATTTGGTTGGTATGGCCAACCAGAAGATGATCCTGCTGTTTTCTGATAACATAACTTCAGGGGATCCTTCCTTAATGTTACAGATGGTATGTGCACAATTAAAATACATTCTTTTTAATGGTAATCCAAACTTCTGTATGTACTTATAGATGATCGCTATAGCAGACAGAATGAGATTCGTGGGACCGTGAAATATGCTGTTTGTTACATTTTACAGCATTATCCAACTGCTGATACAATATGTTTATGGCATAGTACCAAATGTAATGATCAGAATTTAATGCCCATTAACTCTCTCATAAAAAGGAAAACCTTGTATACGACACACAGAATACTACATTTAGATGCCTTATTAGTGTAACCATAGCAAAACTATTTTATGGGCATTATGTTTCCCCCAAAACATTTGCCAATCAGAGAACAAATATGTAATGAGTTTGAAGGTCTCTGTCCAGTTTGGACAGACAGATGTCCATGGGCAAATGTTCACATTGCCTATTACAATGGCATTTTCTGTATTGATTGGTACCCTTGTTGGAGGAGAGACCAGTGACTGAATTGGCCATAGAAACTGACCTCGCACCAGTAGAGGTGTTAATATCAGGTCATAATTAAGGTAGTTGATAAGGAAGTGTGGGAAAGTTTAGAACTTCTGCTGCCTGTGACATTGCTGGAGCAAGGACATAAAAAGGGCATATTGTGACGTCTCTTACACTGTTGTGGCTTTTGGGGTTTGTTTGTTTTTGTTTTGTTTTGTTTTTTTTAAATAGGTGGAAGGTCTGATACATGTAGCTGAAAATGAATCTGACAGCATGAGGCAGAAAGTAACTGCTCATGTAATCAGCTTTGTGCTTGTCCAGTGCTGCTGTAATTCACAAATGGAAGAAAGTTATTGGTCATTGGCTCTCAGAATCTTCAGTCTTCTGGAGGGAAAAATAAGACAACTCGAAGGCAGTCATTCTGCAGAGGTAAGAATTAAGTAATTTTGTAGATGATACTCCTTTTGTTGAGAGTAAGGTCTCTTTCATAAGTAGAGTAGCAAGATCAGCAAAGTTGGGATGGACAGAAAATCTTGTCTCTGTTCCTTTTAAAAAAAAAAAAAATACACTTGTCAGCATTTTCTTAAGGCTGGTATTAAGACTTCTAAGGGTATGTCTTCACTTCCCGCTGGATTGGCGGGCTGCGATCGGTCCAGCGGGGATCGATCTATCGCGTCTAGTCTAGATGCGATAAATGGACCCCTGAGCGCTCTGCCGTCGACTCCTGTACTCCAGCGCCGCAAGAGGTGCAGGCAGAGTCGACGGGTTGTGTGGGTGTACATTCAAGTTATGTTTTCATTCTCAGATGATTCCTGCAAAATGGCCTATTGAGTCAGTGCCTGGGGGCTTGGTGTCAGTCGAGTTGTTGAATAAATACATAGAAAAGCTCAACTGTGGTCAGGCTGTTGATGTAGAAGATTCAGCCATGCTCATGCTTCTCTTGAAAAGCTTTGTTAGTGGCCTGAAGCCTCCCATATCCTTTATGAAAGGTAAGCTTCAGAACTCAAACCGCGAACCTTCACAGACTATGTGAAGTAAGGAAGAAAAAATTAGGTCCATGGGATTTTTTCCCCATTAAAAGTTGTTCTCCAAAACACAGACTTTGCTTTCTTATACTATTTTGTTACACTAAACAGATTTCTAGAAATTTCCTTTCTCTAGGCTTGAAAACGGCCACATTTCTTAGATTCTTCAGCTGCAAAGTTGTTGGGGGAGTTGTTTCAGGGGTATGGCTATGCTGCTGACTCGGGCTTGGGTTGCAAAGCTATAAAATTGCAGGATAGATGATTGGGCTTTCAGCTGGAGCCCAGGCTTTGAGGCCCTGCAAAGGGGGAGGCTCTGGGAGCCCGGGCTCCAGCCTAAGCCCAAACGTTAACACTGCAATTTTACTGCCCCGAAAGCCTGAGTCAGCTGACCTGGGCTGGTCATGGCCATGCCTTACGTCCTTTTTCACAGGGTGGACATACCCTGAAGGTACTTTATACAACTAATAATGGGGTTTTTGTTTTTCTCCGCCCTGCTCATGGCCATAGATGAAATCTGGTGGAATCCTGAAAGTTTGAATGAAAAGAGCAGAGAGTATTTACACCTGTTGTTGGGGCTGTTTGACGTCATTGTCAGTGGAGCCAGTGAGGGAGCTGATGCTCTTCAGTTCAGAGCACTGCTGAGTCTTTTGTTCAAGGTATTTTTGTATGTGTGTTTTTTTGTTCTTAGTGAATATTCTGAATTATTTCTTCATTAACTTGTTTTGAATCGCTACATAAAATTTAAAGAAAGCTGAGAACAATTCCAAGGGATCCTGCTTAAATATTTATTTGCTTCATGGTAACATCTGAGTGAGAATGGAAGACTGTTTAAGCACTAAGCAATGTATTTCTGTAAAAGGTTTGGTTGTGGGTTGCCTGAAGTCCATTACGATTTCTAAATCTGAGACTAAATACTGTATAGTGCAATTCAGGTATTTTAACATAGCTTTTTGTGCACTAGTCTTCATTGATATACAGCAGAAAGCATTTAATAAACATCCTATAATGGTTTAAAATTTGGTCTCAAGGTCTTTTTACAGAAGATTTCATTATATGGACAGTTTTTATAGCGATTATGATTGCCTGAATGGAGAAATGTTTAACACTGCAAAGCAGACCTGCTTCAAATAGAGAAAAGTAGTTGTGCTTAACTATGTCCAGTTGTATATCTTGATAACATAACCCATGAAATCTAGTTAGCTGTTTGGTTTACCATATAACGTGGTAAGAATGCATGTAGTATGTTTGGGGGGGGGGGGGAAATGACCTGGGGGCCTGGCTGCAGGATATGAGTGGGGTGCCAGAGCTTGGCTGCTGGGAGCCAATCTCCTGGGCCAGGCAGCCCCTATCCCTCCCTGGCTGCAGAGTGTCCTGTGAGCCAGCAGGTGCCAGGCCCAGCCAGGGTGTGCTCAGTGGCCAGTCTGCATGGAATGAGAAGGAGCCAAGGACTTTATAGACAGGACTGGGTGGAACTAGGTATGGGCCCGCCCAAACAGTGGAGCCCCCCATAAGGAGCAGGAGCCAGGCACAGGTAGTGGAGAGGTGGGGATCGGACAGGCTTTGTGTGGGGTCACTGCCTGATCCCCTGTCCTCCACCATTTCCTCACTGCCCCTATTGTCCGCCCAGCTCCCCTCTCCTCCCTACCAGGGCTTCCCACTGCCCCCCTGCCCAGCTCCCCTTTTCCACTGGGACTCAGATTTCCCAGGGCCAACTACCTCCACATACATCTTTTGTAGTGACCTCTGCTACTTAGCGCATAACCTAGTCTCCCTCCTTAGAAGAATTCTGGTTGCGCCCCTGAGGATGGTGCCAAATTGTCTTTCAGTACTTTACTCTCAAAAAAGCTGTTTGAGGTAGGGGCTGTGTTTGTACACCACTTAGCGCAGTGGGGCCTCAAACCAAATTGGGGCCTTGGGCACCACAATACTCATATTTAATAATAATTATAAGTTAGAACAGATCATTAGATGACAACCACAAATCAAACTGAAAAGATAAGGTTCCAGTTTGTATTAAAAGTACAAGAGCTTCAGAAATCCTTGTGTCAAATGACATTGATTTCAATAGTCTGTGAAAGAAAAAGTTAAAAAAAAAAAAAAAAAAAAAGACTTCAGTTGAAGTAAAATTATAGAAAGCTCTCAGGATGGCATAAAGAATGCTGCATGCAGCAAGGGGTTAACAGCTGCCCAAAAAAGGACAGAGTCCTCAAACAAGGAATAAAAATTCTTAATGTTAGCTTTATATTATGCTCAACACTTTTAGTCTCAATCTAAATGAAATGGGTGTTTCTGTAAATACCTTTTCAAGCTATAATAGAAAATATAAGAGAAAAAGTACTTTGCATAAAAGAATGTAAAGGTACACAGGACAAAGAGGTAACAAATATATTTAACTTTTTATTTTAAAGGTACATTTAGAAGATTCAGAGGATCTGTTCAAATTCCTTTCAGTTTTATGGACCTATAACTATAACCTCTCAAATCAGCTAAACTACACAGTGAATGCGATGCTACAGACTCGAGCTTTGTATATAGGGTGTGCAATGCTTACATCACAGGCTGCCCAAAAGAAAAAACAGCTGGTATCAGCCTCTTCCCCAGGTACAGGGAAACCATATACTTCTGTCTTGCTAAGGCTTAGTCACATGTTAATAAAAAGTGATATCTGTGCTCTAGAAAAAGTGTTAAACATTCATTTTCTTGTCATGTTGTTTCTGTCTGCATTATGAGTGCTACATTTCTTGTTGAAACCATACATTTGAATTTCCTAATGTTTTGTCTTTGACAAATCAAAACCATAACAGAGCTGTAGTGTTGTTTGCATATGTAATACTTGTGCATGCAATTGTCAAATCACCACCTGCTTTTGAAATTTGTGTCTGAGAAATCACACCATGTTTTTATGTAGAGCGTAACACAAATTTTAAACAAGAAAAGGATGCTACATAGGCTTTAGTAGTAAAACTTAAGTCCTTCATTTTTAAACAATAATATAAGCATCTTGGTGATGAAATTTATGGCCAGATTTCCACATGGCTCATATTAAAAATAGTTACTGTATATCCCTCAAGATTTTTAAGGAAAAGAGCAGACCCTTTAAATATAAAGGAATCTGTTGGTATTGCTGTAGATAATAATGTAAGAATTCTAACTGCTCAGTTTTAACAAATTTTTTCCATTTTCATTTTTAGTGGTAATATCTCTGCTGATTAACTTGGGGAGTCCCGTGAGTGAAGTGCGAAGGGCTGCTCTTAATTGTCTTCGTTCCCTGACTGGAATAAAGGAGTCTCCATTTCATCCCATTCTTCATAATCTGGTACAAAAAGCGGAGGAGATCTTAACTGATCCCCTCTATGTGACTCAGGTAAGATTTTTGTTGAAGTGCATGTGAATGAAATAAATTTTCAGGGACCTACTTGGAATTCCATCTTCTCTACTGGCTAGTAGAGATCATGTTACAGACAAGGTGCTTGTCTATTCTGTCCCACCCCTATTTGGTTTAGGAGACCACTCATTCTGCTTTCTTGAGTGTGAAGGGAAGAGCCATTATTGGCATTGAGAAAGTGGAAAGTCTGTTTTTGGGGAAGGAACTATCAAAATATTTGCCAGGAAAACCAGAATGCAAAAGAAATTGCAGTGGAGCTCACTTAAATACTTGAGGACTGAATAAATATGTTTAAACCACTGTTCATATAGTGAAAAATTAAATGCGACTTGAAAATCAGCATGTGTGTCTATAACAAAATTATATAATTTGCGGATAATTTGTATTTCAAAACATACTAACTTTTAAGATTTTTTTTTTTAAGAGATCCTCTGTTGAATAAATAGCCACATTTTCTTGGACAATAATTACTAATAAAACTAGATGTGGAAGGCAGGGCGGCAAGGCTATTGGTGAGAAAGCTAGCATTTATTGAAAAATTTGGTGGTTCTCACCCTGTGTCATTTTTCCCCTGGAATCCAAGGCAATTTCTGCTGGGCCATTGGGGTGGAAAAAGAGGCCACAAGCCACCAGCCCTCTTCTCCAAAGGTTGCGCTTGCTTGGAGGAAAAAGGCCCAGGAACTTGTCTGTTTTCCCCTCGAGAGAAGCTTGTAAAGGGAAAAGTAGACATTTGAAGCCTCTTCCCACAGTTAGCCCCCTGGATGAGAAGGATTGCAGAGAAAGGCAATCCCAACAATTTTAAAACACACACTGAGTTTACATTATTCTTTCAAGCAGTGAATGGGCTGTTTTGCTAATGTCCTGTGAACCAGCCAGATTTTGTATAGAGCAATAGATTCATAAAAGCTTGTATCTGTACAGTACACATTATTTGAACGTGGAGTGTTCATACATCTGTCATGTAAGACAGTTTGATTTTTCTCTTTCAGTCAGAAATAAACTTAAGGAGGACTTAAAAATGAATAATATATTAAATTTACTCACATCTGCCTCACATTGCATTCACTTTAAAATGTTTCAGCTTTCTGGGGCCCTTAACTTCTCTTGGAAGGACTTGTTTTTCACTTTTTTTTTTTTTTTTTATCAACTAGAGTTTGGGAAGCTTGTTTGAGGAACTGCAGACAGAAAGTAAACAGAAATCTCAGCAGAAGAAGCTGTTAGAAGCTTTGGAACACATACTTGATTGTGTACAAGACCCTGGTTGTCCATCATATGTAGCAAGAAGCTTGATGAAGATTCTTCAGCAGGTCAATGGTGAGGTGCGTGTGGGCTTTCTGGTTTTAAATTTATTTTATGGATAGGATGTAAGATTTGTTGGGCTTTTTGTTTAAATGATGGAAGTATCTTGAAATGTAGAGAACTCAAAAGATGCAGCTTTATTTAGCAACGGTAACTTTGAGTAACTGCTGACTTTATGTTCTAGTATTTTTGGCAGACATTTGGATGATACTTTAAGATGGTATGCAAATGTGACACATCTGCAAAATATAACTCAAAGATTATCACAAACATTTCCATGCTCCAGCCATGCACTTTTTCTATTGTAGGATCACTGCACCAGAGTCCTTAGGCAAATTTAAAGTCCTCCTGGCTCTGGAACAAGGTCTCAAGAACATTTTTCTAGAAAGATTTCACTGAGAACTGCAATAACAAATGCTCTGTGCATGTTCAGTATTTTAAAATTAAATTTATTTTGTGTCTATTTAACTCCCTTTTAAGCAGTGTATTCGGAATTCCTTGCTTTGTACTACTTCTGAATGCATTAGTTCACTGCGTTAAAACCAGGGATGGTGATAGATGTCCGTGTGAGTTTTAATACATTATAACAGGCTATCCTATTTAAAAGGATTGTGAATGGCATACTGGATGATTGCCATTGTTGCCAGAAACTTAGGGTTTGTAGGAGCTGTAGTAATCATAAATATTCTGAAAAACCGAGCATAGATTTTATGCAGTGGTGTTGTATCCATGTCACTCCCAGAGTATTAGAGAGACAGGGTGGGTGAGCTAAATCTTTTACTTTGAGTATAGGCAGAGCTCTTCAGGTCTGGAAGAAGAAGAGCTCTGTGTAAGCTCAGAAGCTTCTCTCTTTCACCAACAGAAGTTGGACCAATAAAAGATATTGCCTCACCCACCTTGTCTCTTTTTAATATCCTTGGATCAACACAGCTACAACAACAGTGTATAAATCCAGTCTTTTTCTGTTTAGTCCAAGATTTTTAACGTCTAGCATAACTAATTCATAACTTTGCTAGACACTAAAGATCATGGACTGAATAGAGATACTGGATATATGGCTTATCACAGCAATCTATAACCCTCTTAACAGCCCCGTCCCCCAGCTGTCTTTACCACCCTTCCTTCTCCTCCTCCCCCGTTACTGGAGGGGTATTAATGGGCAAAGTCCCCTGCAATGCCACGTTCACATTGGAAGGCGCATCCTAGAGGTAAGGACATGCCCTGACATGTAAGTATAATAAAAAGTAACGCACAGTGTGATGTCAGTGATTGATATTGCACTAAAAATGAAACTGCTCTTCTGAAAGTTTGTTAAAGCAACAGGTGATTTAAAAAAACACCCTCTTATAAATGTTCTTCACTTGTAGATGATACTGTCTCACCTGTTGCCTGCAATAGATAGATTACTGGAGAAAGTGCTAAAGGAACCCGAGACAGTGTTGAAAGATGAAGTTGTTCTTCTATATTTCATCCTTGGGAAATACAGTGAACATTCAGCTGCCCTCTTATGTAAGGATCAGCAGAGTCTGGATTTGTTCATCAGAAGTCTGCACATTGCAAAGGAGCTTTACAAAGGAATTCCAACTTTCCAGATCACAGCACTTGGGCAGGTAGGTATTTCTGAACAAATTTTTTCATTTTTTTTTTTTTTAAATTCAAATAGCAGATGTGAGTGTTGATGAGTGAATTTAAACAGACTCTTTCAAAGTTAGAAGGCCCTAAATTCTGAAAGAAACTATTTTACGTACCAGCTTCCCAGATCTAGGTAGCTCTTTTGAAGTGTTTTCAAAACAGATACCTCAAAGCTCTTTGTCTTTAAAATGTTGAAAGGTAAAAGTGTTTTTTCCCTTTTATTTTTTTGTTTTGAATAAGATAAGTATCCAGGGTTGCTTGTGGCGGCTGCTGCTGCTGCTCCATTTTCTTTACTTTTCACCAGCTACTGCAGGAGCTTTACCTCAAATTTTTGTTTTTCAAGAGACAAAAAGAAAAGATATAATGTCGATAAGTAAGAAATAACTTTGCTTGGAATAGAAATCAACTGTTTGTTTCAAATATTGTATTACAGTCACAAAAGTGGGACAATGTGTACATAAATGTGACTGGCGTGTCTGTGTGTGTATATGTAAATCATTATATATACAGATATAAAAATAATTATATTTTCCCATGTTTCACATTTTGCCATTAAAAAGTATATCTGTTTTTGGCTTCGTTATATATATATATATATATATAATTTTTTTTTTTTTAAACTTTGCAGATCACTAAACCATTCTTTGCTGCAGTGCCAGATGGGAAGGTGCAACAGAAGCTACTGAGAGTTCTGTTTGATTTATTGTTAAATTGCAAAAACCCACTTTGTGCCCAGGCAGTTAGCAGTGTTTTTAAAGGGGTAAGTTGCAGACTGTTGGGACTTGGGAATTTAGTCAGAATTGTTAAGATATTTCAGGTTAAATTGCAATCAATAATTATATTTATTGCTTATGAAATTCTTAACATGATAGTCATCAGAAGCCATATAAACCACATTAAAATATAATTTAATATGCATTAAAAATGCATTAAAATAGTATTCCTAAAAGGTAAGAATCACATCTATATGAATTCATTATGTTGTAATAATGAACTTCAGAGGAAGGAGGAACAGTCCACTCTGCTTCATTTTTATTTTCTGTATGAAAAAGTAATTTGTCTAGAATCAAAAAGTGTTACTCCAAATATATTGAGAGTAACTGTTGCTTTAATAGTAATTTGTTTGTTTAATACATAGATGAAAGCTCTTCTTGCATTCTGATTGACATAAGAAATGCAGTTAGGACAGGCATTCATAGCTATTATGATGACCAAGGCCAGATAAATACTTGGGTGGGTGGATAGATGTTTGTTGCTCATATGTACTTAATTTATTTTATTTTTTGCTCTAGATTTCAGTTGATGCTGAGCAGATTAGTGTAGAGCTAGAACCTCCTGAGAAAGCCAAAGCTCTGGCTACCGTTCAGCAAACTAGGAGACAGAAAATACAGCAGCAGAGGTAATGGGCATAGAGATGTTGAAGCTACAGCGTTTGTCTGTATATATTTAGAAAACACCACTTGTTGAGAGAATGTCGTAAAATATATAGAAGGCATAGGAACTTCTCTGACTACATCGGTAAAGAAGAAAAAAATCCCAAGGACTTCAGAGTTTAAAGCCTCCCCATATTATTTAAAAGAGCTGATAGAGTGCTTGATACAGAAGACCGCTATCCCTACCCAACAACCTTAAAATCATATATTGAACTTGCTGTGCACCGTCAGGCCTGAGCTTATTTTTGTGTGTCTTTACTATTAACATATATGTAAAGAAAATGCATGGGTGAGTTTTTAATGGATATTGACAAAATCTTGCCATTCAACTAAAAAGCAATTATTATTTTATTTTATTTTATTTTTAGTAAAAGCTTCAGTCATATTATTTTTATAACCTCACTAAGTAAATTCCGGAGAGAGAACCTTCATTCAGTTAGTCAGTCCTTCTCTTTCTATCTCTTCATCTGTATGCAACCACTTCATCCACTTGATTTACAGAGGGTCTTGCTCATTAAATTACTTCTTAGATTGTGTTTGTCAGAGGACAACTTATAGTAATGTATGCTGGAAGGGACCTCAAGAAGTCAGTTCCAGCCTCCTGTGCTGTGGCATGACCACGTAAACCTAGACTATCAATGACCAGTGTTTGTCTAAAGTGGTGTTAAAAACCTCCAATGACGGGGATTCCACAACCTCCCTTAAAAACCTATTCCAGAGCTTAATTACCCTTATAGTTGGAATGTTTTTCCTAATAGCTAACCTAAATCTCCCTTACTGCAGATTGTCCATTACTACATGTCCTGCCTTAAGTGTACATGGAGAACAGTTGATCACTATCCTCTTTATAACAGCCCTTAACATGTTTGAAGACTGTTATCGAGCCCCCCCTCAGTCTTTTAATAATTTGTTCCAGTATCTTTCCAGGTATCTAAGTTGGGCCGACAGGTCTATAATTCCGCTGGGTCCTCTTTGTTCCCCTTTTTAAAGATAGGTACTGTGTTTGCATCTCTCCAGTCTTCTGGGACCTCATCTGTCCCCCAAGATTTTTTAAAGATAATAGTTCTGAAATTGCGTCATGTAGTTCCTAAAGTACCCTGGGATGAATTTCATCTGGCCCTGTCAAATTGAATACATCTAATTTATCTAAATATTCTTTCCCTATTTTGGCTTATGTTCCTTCCCCCTTGTTAATATTAATTGTGTCGAGTATCTGGTTACCCTTAAACTTTAGTGAAGACTGAAGGAAAATAGGCACTGAACACTCAGCTTTCTTGATGTCAGCTGTTATTAGCTCTCCTTCCCTTCCAAGTAGAGGACCTACACTTTTCTTCATTTCTCTCTTATTTGTAATGTTTTAAAGATCCTCTTATTGCCTTCGATGTCCTTTGCTAGGTGTAACTCTCACTTTGCACCTTAACCTTTCTGATTTTGTACCTACTTGCTTGTTCTATTCTTTGTCCTCTTCCTTTCCATTTTTGTCCATGTTTCCACTTTTTGTAGGATTCCTCTTTGATTTTCAGGTCATTAAAGAATGGTTGATGGAGACATATTGGCCTCTTACTATTCTTCCTATCCTTTCTTCGCATTGGGTAGTTGGCAGTTGTTGTCTTTAATATTGTCTCCTTGAGGAAGCTGCCAGCTCTCCTGAACTCTTAGATTTTCCCTTAGATTTCCTTTTCCCTTAGATTTTCTTCCCAAGGGACCTTATCTGCCAGTTCTGAATTTGTTTAAGTCTTCTGTTTTGAAGTCCCTCGTCTTTTTATTTTATTGCTCTCTCTCCTTTCTTTCCTTGGAATCATGAAATCATGGGATTTCATGATGACTTTCTCCCGAATTGGCTGCCATCTTCAGATTTGCTACCAGTTCTTCTCTGTTCATCAGAAGCAAGTCTAAAATGGATGTCCCTCTGGTTACTGCTTCCACTTTCTGGAACAAAAAGTTGTCCCCAGTACATTCCAAGAACTTAATTAGAAATTTTGTGTTTTGCCATATTACTTTTCCAAGAAATGTCTGAGTAAAGTGCCCCATTATTACCAGATCTTCTGTTTTGGACACTCTAGAAGTGACTCATCCCCACCTTCTCCAGATTTGTGGTCTATAGTAGACCCCTACCATGGTGTCACTCCTATTTTTTTAACCTCTTTTATCTTTACCCAGAGACTTCCAACTGGTCTGCATCCCACCTCCTTCTGGACCTTAGAACAATTGTATATATTCTTGATGTATTATGCAATACCTCCCTTTTTACCCTGCCTGTCCTTCCTGAACAGGCTACACCTCTCTGTACCAATATTCCAGTCATGAGACTTATCCCAATGTTAAGTTAATGATGCCAATTAAGTTATAGTTTAGCTTGTGCACAAATGTTTCCAGTTCTTCCTGTTTATTCCCCATACTCCTTGCATTTGTGAATAGACATCTAAAATGTTGAGCAGATTCTCCCACTGATTTTCCTCTTGTCGCTTCTATGACCCTGCTGTAATTGTCCATGTCCTTCCCTGCTCTCAAATATCTAATCCTCTGCTGAAGTTACCTTCTTATATCTTATCTGTGGGCTTTTGTCACCTACCCCCTTTGAACCTGTTTTAAAGCCTTCCTTACTAGTTGGAGTCAGTGCATGAAGATGCCGTGCCCCTTCTTGGTCAGGTGGACCAAGTTCAGTCAGTGCCTAGCCACCCAGAAGTTAAAATGAGACTATTGTCCATTAGCTGGATGCCCAGCGGGTCAGCATTGAGACAACTGACTAATAACAGAAAAATAATTTCAGTTGCAGGAACCCATCTTGGAATATAGAGTTGTGTTTTGGGGGTGTGTCTGTATAGTAGGCATGCTGTAATTTTACTTTTTTTCTTTTTTTACAATTGGGTCTGTTTTTTCTTTTGATAAATCTTGAGGTTCTATTTTTGTTTGAAAGGCCATGCAAAACCTTTGCAATCTCTACCCAAGTGGTGGTGGTTTCTTTTCTAACAGTGAGCTGTACTCAGTTCATTTTCTTTGAATGAATATATCTTAATTTTCTTGAGTTCTAATCTTTTTAGAAAACCCCAAGTTCTGGAATCAGTACCGGAAATCAGCAGTGTGAACTGGCAGAGAGTTACACTCATCCTGGAATTACTGCAGCACAAGAAGAAGATCAAGCGTCCTCAGGTGCTAGTACCTGTACTTTTTAATCTGCTGGCCAGGTAATGACACTTAATTAAAAATTAGTAAGAAACATCAGTCATTACCTGTTCTCCCCTCACTAATAGGGGATGTAAAACATTAGAGTGTGGGCTAATACCTAAACATTGTGGCAGCAACGTATCGGTGTGCCCTTTGTTTTAACTCCTTTAGTCAGGAGAGCAGGACACAGGGCTGCTGTCATTATTGTATACTGTACTGTGGGTCTTTGAGAGTGGTACACACACAGCTTGTCAGACATGTGCTTTATTTCTGTATTAAGGGGGTTGGGAGTGCTACGGTTTCCCTAAACCCCGATTTTCTGAATGGTCATGCAGATCTCCACTGGTGGTTGTGGTGGCAGACTGACCTTGTGGTTCCTAATTCAGGGCTGCTGAAGGATGATTTACAGAAAGTAGTAATATTGCCCTTTTTAAAGCAGCCTAATGAAATTACAGCTATTCCTCTCTTGCCCCATTTCCGGATGTTTACTGGTTTTTACATATACCTCTCCCAATCCCCCAAAGAAGTACTCAAAGCCAGATGTTACTCAAACATCTTGGCAGGTAGAGCCTTGCTGAATTGCCTGTCTGCCTCCTTGGGACCTAGTCTGTAAAAATTAAATCCCTAAATTTCCCTTTATTTTGTAACTTAAATTTTTAACAGATTTGGTGATTAGTTTTCAAACCTTCAAATTTACCTTTTACAGTCAAGGGAAGATGGATATTTCAAAGGAAAGTGGGTGATTCAGTGAGCTTTTCCTTTCAGTGACATTAAGTGTTCAAATGACATTTCAGTGCACAGTGATTATTTTCTGAGGGGCCTGTAATGAAGAAAAAGTACAAATTGTTCGTAGTTTGAAACTTCTGGCAGCTTTTGTAAAAAGAACACTGAGATAAAATAGGAAATTTCTCCACATACTGTGTAAGATTAGTGATGTTTTTATGGAAGTCTCTTTGTTTGAATATTATCTCTGGTTTGAATTTTTAAGATGTGACTAGTCCACTAGTTTATCTGAAATTTTTTTTTCATCCTTCCACTTCCTACCCCTGACTACCTCCTGAATCATTTAGATGCCTGGAAACTTCAACAACAGAACAGGAAAATATGGAATATACAAAGCAGCTAATCCTAAGCTGTTTGCTAAACATCTGTCAGAAACTGTCCCCAGGTGGCAGCAGGATCCAGTCAGGTAAAAATTACAGCTTCCAGTTCGGAGCAGGAAAACTTTCCCTAGCTTTTGTACATTAGCTGCCTTTTAGGATTGCAGTAATATGTCTGTCTGTCTGTTTTTAAGACTAGTGATCTTTTTTTAAAAAACAGTACTAAGCAAGATATTTTTCCCCCCTCTGCAGATATCCTTGATAAAGAGAAATTTAATGTGGAGCTGGTAGTTCAGTGTGTCAGGGTATCAGAAATGCCTCAGACACATCACCACGCGCTGCTACTGCTTGGTACTGCTGCTGGCATGTTCCCTGTAAGTTGTGTGTGAGGTTTATTGACAACTCTTCTCTTTTTTGTCTCTGGTTTTAAGAGAGGGGAAGATAGAAAGCTAAGATAGAGGGGAAGATGTAGAGGACTTCAGGAGAGAAAACTACTGAAAGAAACGGGACAAAATTAGATGTCCCTTACGTTCTTTTGAAGAGATTCCCACTCCCATTTATTTATTTAAAAACAGAAAGATACTTTGCCATGGTGTTGTTAATCACTAATTATCAAGGGTCTTATTATCCCTCCCACAGAAAAACCCTTGGGGAATGGAGAACTTATTACAAAAGGACAATATGGTTCAGCATGACATTATCCCCCTCAGGTTAAATGGCTCACCCACCCTTCTGTTGTGTTCAGGGCCTTTTGCACCTCCTTTCCTTCTTTCTTCCCTCCACGCTATGCAGCATAGTGGAGCGTCTGGCCCAGATATGACCATGAAAGGTGGTATTAGTGTGTTTTATCTCATGCAGCAGTGTAATTATTGTATTTAATAATGTTTTAAGTCTTTGAAACTGCTTCTGAAATAGGAGTTCTCTTCTGTGGGCTGAAATTTGAATATGCAACCATTGTTAAAATAAGTTACGCAAGTGGTGTTAAAGTGTATCAATATATAGAGGCATATATTTGTTGTTCAGTCTACCAGTTGAGAAGTTGAAAAATAAAGTGCTCCTCTCCATGATTAAACTGAAATTTATTCAACAGGTAGTTTTTAATTGCTTTAGGGGAACCCAATATATAACATGAAAACAATTTTCCATCCTTCTTTAATACCGGGTCAGTGGCTGGTTTTCGTGTTTTAAATAAAGTAAATATTTGCCTGGAATATTAAATACCTTCCTAAAACATGGCATATTTATTCTGCTTGTTAAGCCTGCATGGGAAACCTGTTCACAGCTCTTATAAAACCAATAACGCACAGGCTTTAGCAAGATGGTGCCATCAGCAGTACTCAAAGAATTGTCAGAAGTTATCTTTAGAGCTTTCACAGTGCTAGGCTACATTAAACTGAAAAGTTTCAAATTGAATTTGTGTTTAAGTTCATATTGTGGTTGTGAGGTAGCCTAAAGAAGTCAGAAAACTAAAAATTAAAGCAGCTGCTCAGTCATTACCTCACATTGTGTCACCTTTGGTATTGCAGGTATTTGAAAGATAGAGGGGCAATTAGGTGTCCAACTTCCATTGAGAGTCAGTGGGAGTTGTGTACCTAATTGGCATTTGTGTCTTTGAAAATCTACTCATAGGTGATTTTGCATACCACAGTACTGCATTATCTGGATATAAGAGCATGATAGACTTAGTCTGCCTTAACTCTCAATTCCTTTTCTTTACTAATTTACTTAGATTTTTGTTTTGATGTCTAACTATTATATTCCCTTCAGCATAGTTGCTCTCTATAACTTCAAGAGACACCGTCAACTTGAAATCTAGTCAGTTCAAAAAAAAAATTGAATAAAGAATTGTTCTCTAATTTCTTTCAGTTATAGTAAACTTTAAGTACTGTTTCTAAAAAAAAAAAAAAAAAATATTTCAGATAAAGAAAGGGTCAAAAAGCCTTAAAGTATATTGACAGGTGGGGAGGGAGAATGGAGGAAAAGCAAAACCACAAACACATACACACCCCTTATAAAAATTAGTAGCTTTAGTATCTAAAACTGAAAACACTAACCTTTTAGTTTTTTGGGGCTTTGTTTTTCAGGACAAAGTTCTCCATAACATCATGCCCATTTTTACATTCATGGGGGCAAACGTCATGCGTCTAGATGATACTTATAGTTTCCAAATAATTAATAAGACTGTGAAGATGGTTATTCCTGCTCTTATACAGGTGAGATATGTTTTCTTTCATTAGAAGCAGGAAGAAAGCTCTGAACAGTATTTTGGGTGTGGGTTTTTTGTTTTGTTTTTTTAAGGCACTAGTAAATTATTTATAGCATGTTCCTTGAGATTTCTATTGGGTATAACAGACATGACCAGCCCTAAGGTCCAATAAAAAGTAGTACTGAAAAAGCATCCTCCTTATCGAGGGAGCGGAAATGGATTTTACAGAAGGTGGAATGAAAGTGATGACTTTCATAGCTGGTCTGGAGCATGTATTTTGGTGTACAGGTCTCAGTGACATACTTAAAAGCCGAGTAATGATTTGATTAAAACACCATATGTTATCAGATTGTATGACTGAATGTGGCCTGAAATGTTATAAAAATATTTTGTAACTTACTTAGCAAAGAAATATTAGGAGTATCAAATCTGGCCTTCGCTGGTTTTGTTGGACTCATATAGTATTTATTTATGGGAATGGGAATGTCATTTCTTTTCTTCTAACTCTCTTTATTTCTGGCCATTTGAGCTAAATGAATATAAACCCAAAACAAACACACACAAAGAGTTAGAAAAAGACTTAATAAAAGCACTTTCCCTGAATCTGCTTTCACTTGACAAGTCCCTAACATTCTTCAGTAGTCCATGGGTTTTCATGAAAAACGTGGGTGAGATCTGAATTTCTAAAATAAACACAAATCTCTGGTTGGAAAACCTTTCAGGCCCCCTTCATACATCATAAAGAAACAAAAAAGAGAGAACCCTTGTTTTACTTTCTCTGCATGTCACTTTTAGAGAAATCAGGCTGTTCTCCAGTACATTTTGAAAAGTAACTTGTAATTACTGACTAATGGAGCCATTATCCAATGTGAAAACAAATCTATGTATGCATATATGTGTACACATAATTATTACATCTAGATAGTGGTCTGTTAGTGAGCTGATATTCTCTAGGTCCTACCAAAATTGTTTTTATTAAAGTGTAAAATTTGACCAAGAATTAAAATGCATGGTGAGGGTGAGATTTTCAAAAGTGCTCATCATTGGTCTCCCTTGAAAATCTCCTGTTGACTTCATGGGCATAAATTTAGATTGTTGCTGAGTAATTTTCAAAATCCCAGTCAACTTGAGAGCAATTTAGTAAAATACTTTCCTAAAACTCAAAAGAAAATTTGACGACTGAAAACTGGTTAGAAAAACATAGTCTTTTGTTAGCCCCACTTTGCACTGGTGCAGCACATCTACATTAATGGGGCTCATACACCGTTATGCCAGCGCAAACTTTTGTAATATCAATAAGCCTTACATTTTTACAGGATGAAGCCTTTAGATGTTTATCTTGTGATCATAATGTTTGGCAATGGTCTTGCTTTATGTGCCTCACAAAAACAATTCCCACCTCTTTATTTGCTTTTATGTGCATAGAAAATCCTCATTAGATTGTGCCCGTGTAGGATAATTTGTTGAACTCCCTAACCTGTTTATAGGCTGAAGATGGTGGCGCTCCAGAGGCTGCACAGAATGTGGAGGAGGTAGTTATTAAAATCATACACGTGTTTGTGGATGCCTTGCCTCATGTGCCTGAGCACAGACGCCTTCCCATCCTGGCTCAGCTGATTGATACGTTGGGAGGGGAACGATTCCTCTGGGTTCTTCTGGTGCTCCTGTTTGAACAGCATGTGACCAAAACCGTGACTGCAGCAACCAATGGAGAAAAGGTCAGAACAATGAGGGGGTGAACTCTTTTTAACTGTAAAAATGTCCAGACTGAAAATAACAGCATGTTTTCGAGGTGGTGGTGGTGTAGCCTCATCAGTCCCAGGATATTAGAGACAAGGTGGGTGAGATAATATCTTTCATTGGACCGTCTTCTGTTGGTGAGAGAGAGAGAGAAGCTTTTTAGTTTACAGTAAGCTCAAAAGTTTCTCTTTCACCAACAAAAATTGGTCCAATAAAAGATATTCCCTTACCCACCTTGTGTCTCTAGCATGTATTCCATTCAGTTGTGAGATAAGACTTTTGCCTACCCTACAAAAAAACCATCTGTGTTGCTGCCAAAACATGAGGATAATGTTTATTATGTGTATTGTGGTAACACTGAGGAACCCCATCATAGCCTGGGACCCATTGTTCTAGGTACCATACAGACATGGTATAGAAAGGTAGTCCCTGCCCCCAAATTGCTTACAGTGTAAGTAATTATGTGTTAAAATTTCTTTTTCCTTGGCTGTGTATCTTACTGAAATGAGATTCTCTGGTGTCGATTTTATTCTTCCACATAGGTGGGAATAAACCATATTATATTGCAGAAATGTATGTGTTTTTGTCGTGTAGCCAGGATCTTCATGTAAAGTGTTAAAGGGAGACTGTTAGAATAGTTTAAGCTGAAAATTCAGGGTGTGTGTTTTATTTTTTTAAAGGAGGTGGTTACATTTTTTTATAAATGGAGATTTTTCTAGTCATAGTCCCCAACCACATTGTGACCCCAAACACAACAGCACTTCGCTATTGCAGGGTACCCGGGAAGTGAAATAGATCAGTCTAGTTTTTGTCCAGGCTGAGTGACCTACTGAAAGTATTCAAACAACATTAATGGGGAAAAGTTAGGTAGATTACTACTTTCAGTTTTAACTATCACATTCAATGTTAATAGCACAGCTGTTGTAATATTTCATAACCTATTGGGCCAAATTCAGCCCTGCCTAGGTTGCTGTGCGTGTGGTACTCCAGTCTTGGCTCAGCTGGGCCCATATTATTTGCTTTGTTTGTTTTAAAGACCAGGTCAGGTTTTTGAGGAGTTTTTTTTCTCCTGTGCAAAAATCAGCAAATACAACAAGTTTCCTACTGACTACTTTTCTAATGCATTTAGAGGTTAATTCTAATGTTCAGTACATGGTACCTGTCAAAAATTGGAAAAGGTTCAGTCTGTGCTGTAAAAATCATTGTCATCATCTTATTTTTGCTCTTGTTTAGCTGACATTTTTGTGGGGTTCTATTCTCATGTGCCAGTTCTGGCCATCTTTGTGGGATGGAAAAATCAAAATAATCTTTGGCTCTAGAAATCTAGTAGTTTTCTGTTGGGCTTAAAAAAGACAGATGACAACAAAAAATACCCCACCAAACTGACTAATGCAGTAGCAAAAGAGATTTGTTTTCTCTACCTCAGATAATTTTTTCAGGTGCACACTAACTGGGTTAGAGGATTTTTAATAGAATATTGTGGAGCATTTCACTATTGATCAGCTGGATCTGAAATAGTGACGTTAGTGGTAAGCCGTAGTCATTACCACAGTACGGCTTTTCGATAGCCTTCAGTATGTGGAATGAGCTGATGGTCTCTGCCCATTCACAGGGGACATGAGTCCAATACATCTTGCTGCAGTTATCATTAATAACAGTTCCAGCAACATTCCCTAGGACCGTACATTCATACACATTCAACAACAAAAGTTTTTTCTCTTATTTTTAGTTCTTGAAATAAATATTTTCTCTGTTTAATCCCTAAACAGGATACTGTTTTGGAAACAGACGTTGAATTTTGGATTACTGTTTGTTGTGAGTTTAGTGTTCATCATCAGTTCCAGAGCTTGATGAAAATAATCCAGTACTTAACAAAACTGCCAGAGAACAAAGAAGGTAACCACAAAACGGACTTGCTCTGCAGTTGCTTGTGAATCTTAATGTTACTTCTGTTGTTCAAGGTTTTGGGCTGCAGGATTACCTTAACTGCATCTCTCCTTCTCATTCAGTTAGAACTACAGTTAAGAAGTATATACCTTCTTTGTGCCAAAAAATTTCATTTCAGAATGCTATGAATTAGCATTCAGGGCCAAATAGTACTTTTCCTTCATAGAATACAGTAAGATTCTCCAAAGTAGTTTAGTTTAGCTTAAAATAAAAAGGGACCAACCATAATAATTAGTGTATAGAACATATCATGTGTAATATAGCATATGCTTGTTTGATAAGGCTGTTCTTTAAAGCAAAAAATAAAAAAATAAAATATATATATAGGGACTTAACTCAATTTTAATGCATTTTTTTAAATGCAGGTTTCTGGTGGAGGCACTCATTGAACAGTATGTTTTGATACTTTAAAAAACAAACAAACAACCATTATTTAAGTGTAAGGAGTTTTCCCTTCCTTGTTGATATTTACATGACTCTCTTTTTCCAGCAAAGGGAGACTGGACAGGCCTGATAGCAACATTTCCAAATATACTCAGTCTAGAATTTTGTGACCCAACCCCTTCCCCGCCCGCCCGCCCTCCCCTTTGGTGCCATCCTATTCGTGGCCCATTTCCCATATAGCTTTTTCAGAAGATGCAAAAGAAAATATAAAATATATACAATTTACAATACAGAAATACAATCAGACAAAAATACAGAATACAGAATACAATACAGAAATACAATCAGACAAAATCTCAACATATGTATTAGAAGTTAATGAAATGGAGACGTTCCCCCCTCCTGTATTTTAGTGTCTTGCTTCTGACTTAATATAGGGATAATTCTGGGACTTTTGCAAAATGAATAGGACTAGCACAAAACTGACTGGAGTTCAGAACAGTGTTTCCGCTGTTCTGCTTGAGCCCTTGGTTTGCCTATTGTATAATATCACTGATGATGATGAAAAAATTAACACAGTGGGGAGAGAAAACTGATGACTTTCAGATGGTATTTTGTAGGAGAATATATTGAAAAATATAGAAGACTCTTTTGAGCCTGATCCTTCCATTCTTGCACAAGCAAAACTCCTGTTGAAGTCAATGGGGATTTTGCCATTGTGAGGACTGTAGGGTTGGACCCTATATCTTAGTTACCCAAGTTTACCTCAACTACTGAACAATGCAGCACTTACTTGCCCTTTAACTGTTGCAATATTTTATTTCAGTTTTAGTAATTGGCAGTCAAAAGCTTCTTTCCTAGTCATGGCTGCAAAAATAATTTTTGTGGGGGATGTTTTATCAGATGATCCTGGACCAAAAAAATTAAGAACACGCAAGATGAAAACACAAGATGAAGAAGTGCAGCTTTTTAATGTGGAGTCTCACTCAGGCAAACAACTGCGACATTTTAAATTTTTATCTGTCTCTTTCATGGCACAGCTTTTGGCTTCTCAAAGTTTTGTGAAAAAGGTAATGCAGATTTTTTTTTTGTCAAGTGGTTTGGTTTTCTTTTCATTCTGAACACATCTGTTCTTTTAGCTTTCTGAAGTATATTTGGCTGACTGCCTTTTACACAGTTCTGAAGTCTTTTTGCAATTTATCAGTAAAAGTTTTGGGGGGTTTCTTTTGGTGGTATGTTGTTGTTTTCTTTGTTCGTTTCTCCCCCCCCCCCTCCCCCCTCCAGTTCTCTTACAAAGAGACTTAGCCTGCGTGTTTGATCATTAGGTAAAAGACAGAGTAAATCCTGGCTACAGTGAAGCCAATGGCAAATAGTGTGATATCAATCAGTTATTGAGACTATCTGGATTCACCAGATTCCAGCATTATAATTCCAAGGTCCCTTTTATTTTGTGATTTCGAATTACATATTATAAGGTATCTTTTGAGTTATAGTGTTGGAATTTGGTGAATCCATGTAGTCTTGGAATCTGGTAAAACTCTAACTCAGAGGTAAAAAATTATACTATTAAATATTAAAGAACCAAAAAGGTTTTGTGTTTTTTAAAAAATATCAGTTATGGGGAACTGGGTGGCTCAACAGAGAAGTGATGAGATGTGAAATTTTTCACATGTAGGTCAATGATCCAAATCTAGCCCTAGTTTGTAGCATTTTTCTATCCATCTGACTGCAGTTTGGTGGCTTACATGAAATGAGTCAGTGTTCTGTCTCTTTCTTGTGGATAAGTATCTGATCACGAATCCACCATTGCAATTGGTATTAGTAGGCTGGGCACTGGTAGTCTCAGCAGAGAGGCCACAGCTTGAAAGGACATGGAAACTCAACTCATCTTTTTAGAGGTGATCCCTCCATCTCTGGTTTGAAACATATTGATAGAATAGTGTTAGGCAAGCTTTCACTGCAGGTGCCAATCCTGTGCTTGCCCAGAGGACTTCAGTTACCTGAAGTGTGGTAATCCAGTGTCATTCATCAGCAATGTTACAACAATCTTTAGTTGAGTTTCTTGGGTTTCATCCTGTCATTCGTTTTTGGGGTTTTTTTATGACTAAACTACAGCTATAGAAAAATTGTAATTAAATGTTAATGTATCCTTCATGGAAGCAGCTCCAATGTGTTACTGTAATACAGTCCTAACAACTGTTTGGTTTTTTGTTTTTGTTGTTAATCAGATAGTCGAATGTGGTGGAGCTGAAGAGCTTCAGGAGTTGGAGCAGAGGTACATGTGCACGTGCACACAAAAAAAAACCCCTACAAACTTATGTCTCTGTAGTTTATTACAAGCAGGTTGTTTTTCAGTTGATTTAGCTGTTGTCTGATTTTTGGGTTTTTTTTTTGTTCTTGACAAGTGAAGTGCTTTTTTAAAAATTAATTCTCTCCTCTTTGCGTGACTTCATGTATTTACTTTAATGTTTACATGAGCACGTAGCTGCCATGATAAGAGGGTCTCTAAAAATCTGAAATTATATTTGAAATTCTTCTAGCCACAACACTTGTTGCTCCTTCACTCCCAGGAAAAATCCCTTATCGATGTAAGCCCGTTTGTCAGAATGAGAGTATTACAGTCATCACAGATGTAATTTAGAAGAGCTGACTGTAGTAGATGTTTCAGTGCAGCAAAATTTAGGTTTTGGGGGGAAGGTGTAACTTGCGTGGGATGACAGTAAGTAAAGAAGGGATGTGTGGCACAAGTGAAGTGCTGCACCTCTTAGACTTGTTTCCGGGCTTTCATACGTTTCCCGAGGTGTTTGGGAGACTTCTTATCCTTTGGAAAGGATGATAAATGGTTGGAGGGCTAGATGGACTCTTCTTAATATGTGCCCCCAGCCTGAACTATTTCCTAACAGGTTTTTGTATTTTAATATCTAGATCTAATGTAAATAGTTTTCTGTACGGGGTATTTTATTAACCCTCATTATTGTCTGTGAAATTTCTTGCCCTCCAGGAATAAAATCACTTTGTAAATGTTACTCATGAAAAAACGTTTCTCCATTTAGATTATTAGAAGAAGTTCTTTGCTACATAAATGTTGTGGCACACTCAGTGGAAGAAAATGCAGACAAACCAACAGCAAAGTTTTGGAGGGCTCTGCTCAATAAGTCTTATGATATGCTAGATAAAGTAAGTTTTCATTACTCCATTTGTTGGCTTTGTTTTTCCTTCTCCCTTTTTTTTTAAACATGATTATAACATTTGTTACATCTCAATTTTTGTGAGAGAAGGTGGGTGAGGTAATATCTTTGTTGGACCAACTTCGTTGGTGAGATAGACAAGCTTTCAAGCTTACACAGAGCTGTTCTTCAGGTCTGTGTAAGCTTGAAAGCTTGTCTCTCTCACCAACAGAAGTTGGCCCAATAAAAGATTATATCTCATCCATCTTGTCTTGCAAATATCCTGGGACCATCATGGTTACAACAGCACTGCATATAACATTTTATCTTTGCAACGTTTGTATAAGGTTTTTTTGTTGGTGGTTTTATGTTACATAATTCATTAGTAAGCTTTACCAACCAATTTGGGACCTGATGCATTGTTACTTTAATTTTCTAGTGCCAGCAGTATTATTAGGCAGAGCAAACAAAGTGAAGTAAACCCAGTGATGGTTATTTTTCTGTTAAGCGTCCTGGTGGTTGGATAGAGCCATCTAGATATTGTCAGAAAGAAAATAGCCTTCTGGTGTTTTTTCTAGTTACAACTTTTAACGTGGACTTTTAGTTAGCTAATATTTCTGCAGAAGAATTTACATGAAGTGACAAGCCTTGCTATGTTTTTCAAGTCTTTTTTTTTTTTTTAAAATCAGAAGTACAGATGCCATGTTGGCTTGGTGCCCTAGCAGCAATAGTGGAGCTATGGATCAGAGTTCTCATCAGTTCTCAGGGTGAATGGTGCTGAATTTTCTTCCATTAGCGACTTAGTTGTCCCACCACTCCGAGCCAGTGTGCATGGAGCAATGTCAGAAGGATTATTTTGGTGGCGAGTAATATCTAGCCAACTGCAGCCTGGAGTGGAAGAATATTGTGTAGGAATCCTCAGGGTTAAATGAGGCAGAGCAAGTAGAAGGTAGTTTATTTCCAAATTGGTGGCTAGCAGTTACGGTATGAGAATTAAACATTGTAGCAGGAACTTACTTTCTCCTTTTGCTTTCCCAAACAAAGCACTATCAGGACATGCTTTCCCTTCTTTTCTGATCCTCTCTTTGTTCTCAGGAAGTGCACATTTCTATACTTTTTGGGGGGCTTGGATGGTGCAGTACAGGAAAGAACATTTCTGTTGTTGTTGTTTTTTTTTTTTTTTTTTACAGGCCAATGCCTTATTGCCGACACAGACATTTATCCCTGTCATTAGGGGACTGATGACCAACCAGCTGCCTTCTGTGAGACGTAAAGCAATGGATCTCTTGAACAATAAATTGCAGCAGCGCACACGTTGGCAGAAGGTCCAAGTAAGGCAAAGGGTTAAGCCCTTTCTTTTTGTTTAAACTGTTCGCACCTTTCCGCTAATGTAGAAATGAGATGTCGTGTAAGGGCAGGTGTAGAACTTTCAGATGGAAATGTGAGTTTTTGAATACCAAAATGTGGTCCGCCCACCCACATTAACTTGCAGGACCTAGCTATGTTTTTAATTTCATATTTGTGTGTTCTTTTGTTCTCTTAGGTTTGGCAGCTCTTAGAACTAATTCCAGAGCTAATCACTATTGTCCAGCGTAAAATAAATGAAGAGGAGGAGGAGCAAGCCATCAACAGGCAGACTGCTTTGTTCAGCCTCAAATTACTGTGCAAATGTTTTGGCACAGACCATCCAGAGCCTTTTGTGCCTGTTCTGAAAGCCACCATTGACCTGATTTCTTCAGAGAGGAAGGAAGAAAGGAATGTGATGGGAAGTGCTTTGCTGTGTATAGCTGAGGTCACCTATACGCTGAAACCACTAGCAGTACCTCAGCTTCCAAGGTATCGTCCGTTTTCATAAAAGGGTTCACTGCCGCAGGAACTACGTCAGATGAAACGTATTACTAAAGGCTGGCTTAAAGGCTTGTTAAACTAATTGGCAGTCTGTATGTGCACGGTGTGCTTTGTAGAAATGGATAAAGGCCCAAGAGTCCTCCTGAGTACTTACAGCGAGAGAACTCCGAAGCAAATGATGCACTAATTGTGTAAGAATTGGAGATCATTTAATAATCCCAGAAGTTCTTGCAGAATCTGTCAAATGGCTGTCTTACCACTGTAAGCCTGACGGTATTTAAAACATAGAACCCTTGTTCAGCACAGCTGGAAAATAGCTACGGTACAACTCCGTTTGGTCCTGCCTGTTCATATGGAACTCAGGCATTTAATAAACAGCTTTTTTAAAAACGCCTTAGCCTTAATAAGAGTGCTCAGTTTCACAATGTAGCAGGGCCTTAAATCCAATATTCTTCACGGCTTTTTGAGAAATAGAATAGAGACGTGAATCCCAAAAGGCCGGGTTTTCAAAAATAGATTCTGCAGTTGTGCATGTAGACGTTTTAGTGCCTGTAGTTTCATGGGCTGGATTGAGGCCTGTTCGGAAAGTTACCTCCCAATGTGCAACTGACAGTGGATTTACTTCTCTGCGTGTTTTTACTTGATTATTTGCAGGCTGATGCCAGCGTTGCTGAAGACACTAAAAGACAAAAAGGAGCTGGTCTCTAACGAGATTTACTTGCTCAGCGCAGTGAGTGCGCTGCTGAAAGTTGTGGCAACACTGTCACACTTCCTCAGTCCCTATCTGGTGGATGCTTTGCTGCAGGTGAGCCATCGCTGTCTTGAGAGGGTGAGGGGACAAGAATGAGGAAGCTCAAATCATGGAGGTCATGCAGGATTTTGCAGTGAATTAAAATGAGAATTTGGCCATCTGGGTGGTTGGGGGAAATCTCCTGACTGCTTCTACTCAGCCTCCGCGAGTAAATGGAATGATGTAGCTGGTGTTCTCCTCCTGCAACCTTGCAGAGACTTAGCTTGCTACTTTAGGAGGCGGGGTGTGAATTTTGAGGGTTTTTCTCCTGTACCAGTAAGTTGATCAAATGTGTATATATTAATAAAAACTCCAGCTTTTATAAATAGAGTGGATGTAATGATCCTCTGCTTATTCCACTGATGAATCCCCTTTTTCAGTTTTCATGTATTGCAGGAGACAAAGTCTTATATACAAAGTTCATAAATTGTAGTGTTTAAAGTAGTAACAGACAGGAGTGCTTTTTATTTCCAAAATGCTTTGCTAATTAAACTGAGTATAAACTTTTTACATTAAGTAGGTGATTTCTTTGTTGGTTCCTAGACCGCAATATTTTTCTGGAGGAGATGATTATGAAAACAGCTCTTGAAAGATTTGTTTTACTGGTTTTGTTCTTCTTGGATTTTCTGATAGGTCGTTCGCTTGGAAAGGATTGCAGTGGAAATGGGCCCTTCGTCCCAGCTTAATCTCCGTTTAACATCACTGAAAACTATGTTAGCTACACGGCTTGGTCCCAGAGTTCTGTTGCCAGCGATTACCAAGTGTTACAATGAACTTGCAAATGCTTGGAAGGTTATGATTTTTTCATTCATTAGTAAAGTGAATGGAAATGTAATTATAGTTTAAATATGCATTTTTATATTAAACCAGAAAAGTTAGAACAGGGAAGGATCCATCAGGCTCTAGAGTATTCATATGCTAGATGGCAAGTATGGAAGACAGTTCTGTTCATTAAAGCTTTCATTTATTTGCTAGGGACATACATTAGGAATTGCAGCTTTCCTTTGGGCCTTGCTACTATCTCATGCTTGGGCATTTAAAATCTGCTGCCAAGATGGGGAGGGAAAGAAAACTCTTTAAAGGGACACTGCCTATTTAAGTCAAATTGTAAACAAACACATCTTCACCTTTTATTGATAGTGCCTTAGATTACCAGAAGTCAAAGAATTTTATAAAATCCAAGTTATTTACAACCTGTCAACTTTTTTATTTCTCTTAGCTTGGGCAATGAAAATCAGTTTTAAATCAATTTTATTTTGTTTGGTCAGATGCACCTTTTGGGTTCTTAATGGTGCAAATTTTGGGTTTCTAACATTGTGAATGGGGATGTTTATTTGTTTAAAGACCATGATTTTCACCTGTATTTTTTTTAAAAATAAATTGTGGAAGGAATTCAGTTGATCTGATGATCTATGGATGTGACTTCTTTTTAATTATGGGGTAACAGCTGTCTTTTTTTTTTTTTTAATCTTTTACAGAACCGCCTGGGTCCCCTTATGGACATTCTTAAAGAGCACATTGCAGTTATGGAGAGAAACCAGCTCATCTCCCATCAGTCTGAGCTCACAGCATTTTTCATGAAAGCCCTGGACTTCAGAACAGAGCACTCACAGGTGGAGTACTGGCAATTCTTAAGGAGCAAGAATGGATGTGGTTTTCTACTAGATGTTAATTTTAGAAGTTCTTTACAAGAATGTGTCAGGTTGTTTCCTGCTAAATGCATTTTCTGCACTTTTGAGAATTGTGTATTCAGCTAGGAGAGAAGTGAGAGAGTGCTCCTTGTGAATAGAAAATTTTAGTTACACAAGTATCTTGGACCTAAACATAGTAGAGATAAAGTTAGACTTTGTGAAAGGATGCTCATCAGGCTCTGAGTCTTACTGTATGGATTTTGAATTATACCTTTCACTTGTTCTAGGATGATCTGGAAGAAGTTGGTAGAACAGAGACCCATATTATTAGCTGTTTAATTAGCATGGTCATGAAGCTTTCGGAGGTTTCTTTCAGACCCCTCTTCTTCAAGGTAGGAATTTTAATATAGTCCTTTGGTATTAGCACAACTGTATTTACAACTGCGTTAATGTAGAACAAACTTCTCTCTCTCATCAGTTATATGATTGGTCCAAATCAGAGGTCACCTCAAAGGACAGACTGTTGACATTCTGCCGGTTAGCTGATTGCATTGCAGACAAGCTCAAGGGTCTTTTCAACCTGTTTGCTGGTAATTTAGTGAAGCCTTTTGCTGATACCCTGAACCAGATTAACATCTCCAAAACTGGTAGGTCTCCAGTTACTATAGTTATCAAAGAAGGAACAGTTGAAATATGATATCACTGTAAGCTTGCTGTCTCTGCATGCCTCCCACCCTTGTCTCCTAACACGTTTTCTTCCCCCTTTTTCTTGCATCTTGCAGCAAGGTGGCTTACTCATTTGGGGGATGCAAAAGGATGTCTTCAGTTGGGGGGTTTGGGCCAGAAGTCCAAAGAAAGGAATATTCTTCAACTAGGGGAAGTCATTCCACTCATGACGTTTCTCTTGGAGTCAGCCAAAGTTGCAGTTTGTGAGATCAGTGAAGCCTGTTTCAAGACCCTGCTCTCTTACGTTTCACTCATTGCCTCCCCTGACATGGCCATATAGAACACACCAGCCAGGCTTGGGCTCCACAACTTAGTTGATGAAATATCTGCTGCTGTTTTGTTTCATTTTTCTCTCCCCATTCAAAACTCAGGCAACCAGCAAATGCATTGGTGACAGGATGTTTCCATACCTAGGCAGCCTGTACATCAGTAGCACTGATTGTCAGGTTCTTCAGTTAATCCCTAGCACCTTTTCCCACAAGCTATGTGCTCCCCTTCTTCACCAGCTGTATGCCACATCCAGCAGCAACAACGTTAATCTAAGCAATAATATTCCAAACTGCAATGAGCTAAAAGGCCGTATTGAACATTGCATTTCATGTGGACTAGATTTAATCATGGGATATCCAGGCCATAGGCCATTTACTACTTACTCATTTCTTAAGAAGAGTGTTGGTAACATCGACTGCTAAATAATCTCTGCTTTCATTATAGCCAGTTCCATGAACAGCTAACAATATTTCTAATTCCTGGTGTTTGCAGAGCAAGTGGCTTCTTCATGGTTTTTCCTTTCCTTCTTTTCCCCACGTGCAGATGAAGCTTTCTTTGACTCTGAGAACAGTACTGAAAAGAGCTGCTTATTGCTGCAGTTCATCCTTGACTGTTTGCACAAAATCTTCCTCTTTGATACCCAGCGTTTTGTAAGCAAAGAGAGAGCAGAAACCTTGATGGTGCCCCTAGTTGACCAGGTACTGACACGTACATTGAAAGGAGACTATTGCTGGATTATCCAAGTATTGTATTCCCATTTCGTTTAACAGGTTTATTGCTGACTATTAAATATTCAGATTATATTCCTTGTAATTTGTCATGGATTTGGCCTTCTTTGGATTAATCTCTCCCTGTTCCCATTTTATTTTCAGTAATCGTATTATTATTATTTATTATTATTTTAGTATTTGTCTTCAAAGCACTTCAACGCGTTACCTAAATAACCCTGCACCTCAGTTTTCTCATACTACAAAATAGAGAAATTAATACTTACCTACCTCACTGGGGTATTGGAAGGATTAAGTGACTTGCCCAAAGCTCAGGAGTTTCCAGCTCCTTCTCCTTTGCTCGGACCTTTTAAACTGCCCCATCACACAATTAGATATTCTGCAGTGCCAGCCAACACCACTCCCAAGTTGGATGGGTCATTGCTGCATGAAGAAGCTTTTTCTGTCTCCTCCCCCAACTCCTGCAGGCCAAGTACACTCCCTCTGCGGGCTCTCAGACAGCATTTATCAGTCAAAGATATGGCACCCCAAAGAATTTAAACCTGAATTTTTCATGCGCCAGTAAACAATGGTACCATTAAATCTTAAGCCCAGAAGAGGGAGTTCATAGCTGAAAGATTTTAGGGGAATCAACATTTTAAAATGTAACTTCTTAGATTTTTCATCTTACTGGTGTTTATCTTCCTTAGTACTCTGGCCTTTGGAATCTCCCTCCATTAGGCTTTGAACTCGTGTGTTGCGAAATGTTAACCTGATGTTGCGGGGTGAGAGGGCAGCAGGATGTTTTTAAGCCTCAGTTAAACAGTTGGGCCTTTCTGTTTGACTTGCTTTGTGATCATTTTACTCCTGCAGCTAGAAAACATGCTTGGAGGAGAAGAGAACTTCCAGGAAAGAGTGACCATGCACCTGATTCCATGTATAGCTCAGTTTTCAATTGCAATGGCAGATGATTCTCTATGGAAACCACTAAACTACCAGATTCTGCTGAAGACAAGGCACACCTCACCTAAGGTATGAAGCTGGATTATCTCCAAGTTGAATATGAGTGTGTTTAAACTGCAGTGCATAGAAAGCAGATTGTGGGTTGGCTGGGTCATTGCTTGACATGAAATTTGCTCTTTATGAGATAACACACTGGTATTATTAATACAGATGGTCCTTTACTATAGTGTGAATGGAATAGCTTCAGAATGGATGCCAGAAGATAATTATGGGCAATTGTTCATCAGTCCCCAAGGACTGACCTATGTTTTAGCAGGGTTTCACTGTGTCTTCCTTTTGTTCATGTTCCACATTTATAGTATATCTAAGTGTGGCAGAATTCAATGTTTATATTTGATAATTTTAAGATATCCATGTTCATTTTTAAGCATTTTTTCAATTTTTATCTATTTACGTTTTCACGGGGGGGGGGGGGGTCAAGCAATTTATTTAATGACAGTAGATGTTGAGATTCAAAAAGTTAAAACCTTATAACCATTAAAACACAAATTGTCAACACCACATGTCAAAGTATACAAACCAAACTCTTAAGTTCTCAAGCAGCATTTTTCTTTCTTTGCATTTTGATTATCAAAGGAAAAAAATCTTCATGGGTTTGTTTGTGTATGGTGACATCTACATTTATGGATAAAAATCTAATCCTCCTATGCCCAAGTATATTAGGCCCTTAGGATGGTTAATGAGGAATGACAGGTTGTGAGGTCTTCAGTAAATTGATAACACCCAGCTCTATTTCTGCAAGGCTTGCTGATGGAGCAGAACAGTTGACTTACTGTCTTGTGAGTGGGATTGTGATGAGGGCGAACTGGCTAAGACTCGGCTAATTTTGATAGGTTGTGGGGAGCAACTGGAAGAATTAGGAAGCGTTAATCACAACTTCAAAAGCAAACATAGCCTATCTTTTTGAGCCTGGTATATAATCTATGGATCTCATTGGACCCCAGACTAGTTAGGAGCCCAGCTTTAAGTACAAAGAGAGACCTTTTATTTTGTATATGAACCTGCTACACTTATTTGTCCTTTTGTTATGAAGAGACTAGCCTTCAATAATGCATTCAGTTTGGGCTACACCTTGAGACCAGCTGGAGCCTAGAACTGACATAGAATGCAGCAGTCATTTTATTAAGAGGGCTAGTATTTCAAGAGCACAAACACCAGAGCTCTGTAAGCTTTGCTGGAGGGTTATAGGCTCCCTGGTGGGATTCAAGCTGTTTGTCTTGATGTTTAAGGTATGTCTACACAGACCACGGAAGTGAGCCTCCCACCCTGCGTGGACACTCAGGCCAGCGGGGATCACATTAGCGCTCTAAAAATAGTTCTATAGACAGTACTTAAGTTGCAGCTTGGGACTACACTTGACGTCCTAACTGGTTTGGGCTCTTCCTCTTAAAAGACTGGTCTCGCTCCTCCAATGATATTGTCACCATTGCAGTCGGCAAAAGTGCTGGAGCTCCACTGATGTAATGTAAAGGGAGGTGGTGGCAGTGTTCTACTTGGGGTCCTTTCACTTTGCCGTTCTGTTGGTCAGAATCATTAACCGTCTGGGTGTGCTTCAGGACCCATTGGAGGTGGAAATGTTTTGAAGACTTCATGAAAGGAGTCCAGTCTATCAGCTAACTTTGAAAATTTCCTCCTCCTAACAAACCCATCCCTCCTTAATGTCTCTAATCACTTCAACCAGGCTTAATTCTTGACTAATATTCTGTCCTTTTCCCCTGCAAGATGTGACTGGCTCTAAATTTTTATGTATATGGGAGACTGAACTACATTAGCCTCTCCTGTAGAGTGCAGGCTCTCTGGCTCCAAGTAGTTTAGCAAACTTCAGTTCCCAGAATTCACTTTATTACCCCTCTCCCCAAATAAAGGCACTGGGAGGAGAATGGAAAGGGAACTAAATTGATCTAAGACATGGAGTATTAAAAGGTATGTTTGAGAATATGCTGTATTGCTTGTTTCCCTATATAGTGGCTTAGGTTTGGTTTTGTTTTTTTTATTGTAGGTCCGATTTGCTGCTCTGCTTACTTTGGTAGAACTTGCAGGGAAACTAAAGGAGAACTACATGGTGCTGTTGCCAGAATCCATCCCTTTCTTAGCTGAGCTAATGGAAGGTAATGTCCTACAATGCTTCAGTTGACAACCAGGATATTTGGGTTGTCCATTTTGAAATACTCGTATGATACAAAACAAAGTTTAACAAAGACAGTGATCGATCACTGACAAATATTAAAAATCCACTGTCCTGAGTGTTAGATAACTTCTTTTTTTAAAAGAATAATCAGTGACTGACATTGGCTAAGTACACCAATTAGTATACTGGGACTTGATACCTGAGGTGTTAATGGGACTTTTAATTTTAGTTAACAAGTGGATGCATTGTTTTAGGAGCCATAGACTAACTGATGGGAATTCACCTCTGTGCACTGGGCCTGTGCACCACTTAAGTCCCAAACAATCAGACTGTGGCACTGGTTTTAGGACAGGTTTTTATGAAGCGTTACTACATTTACCGCACTCTTGTGAGTGGAAAAACCACTTTATTTCAGAAATATTTTTGTTGCATTACCTTTTCAGCTGCAGTAATGCTCAACTAGTAAATGCTTCCCAAACACCATAAGTGCATCCCGAACACCCTGCCCAAAGGAGCATACAGTGTGAAAAGACACACCCATGAAACGGGGTGTGGGGAGAATTTACAACATAAGAAAAGTGGTGAGGGTGGAGATAGGGCATATAGGTTAGTTACATCTTTGTTAATGTTTGCTTTTTAGATGAATGTGAAGAAGTAGAACACCAGTGCCAGAAGACAATTCAGCAACTGGAAGTTATTTTAGGAGAACCACTCCACAGCTACTTCTAAGAAACACCATTGCCTCTTTGTCGTAAAGTCTCAGTCATGAGATGTGAATGTCTGTCTCACATAAAAGAGCTAATCATATTGCCACAAAGTTACTATGTCACTCCAATTAAGAGTAACACCTTTTTTTGTAGTAGACTGCGAAGATCTTGCCTATACGCTGTTCAGGGTCATGACAATTTCCACGGTTATTAATAAATTGAAAATATTACAGGATGGCTTTTTGACTTCTGTATACTGTAACTTGTAGAAACCGCTGTATGAATTCAGTTCAGGAAAGACAATGGGGATAAATTTTCATAAACTAAAATGTGCTGCAAGGTTTTAGAAGGGACAGACTTCTGGGTTTTTTGTTTTTTTTCCTAAACTTAGTTTCTATCCTGTTAAGTTTGTACTGCAGCTTTTTAGTCATTTATGGTGACCGTAAGCATTTTCTAGTAGCAGAGTCCCTGACTACAGAGGCTACATTTTTGTGAGATGTTTTCTGTACAGTAGTTAACTCAGTAGTTTAAATCACTCTTCCTTTATGCTCTGTGGGATTTGAGTGTCAATTATACCAGCCTATAACCTCAAACAGTAGTTGTTAAATTAGTGTTTTCTTTGTAGCTGTTTTCTTTAAAAAGAGATTACTATAATCACCATTATGCCATAAGTCTGATACGCCACAGGGATGTGCACGTTACTAGTGATGTGAATTAGGTTCTTACAACTGTGTGTATCCATTTGTGAAAATCAGGTATTTTGTCTAGATTTGCTAGTTTAACTACCTTGGTTTCAGAATCTTTCATGAAGAATGAATGGGCAGATGTTACCTTTTCTATTCCTGTCTCTACTTTTTAACTGTGGAAGAAAATAAGTGAAGAAGCCAGCAATACTCCATTTAAGGCTGTTGACCATAGATGACTATACAAGAATCCAACTTCAAAGGAGTTTAGAAAATAAAAACTTTGTTCGCATTGCAGGATTTACACTACAGAGCGGAAGTCAAACTTACACAGGGACTTTAGGAGAAAAGTGAAGTTAACTGAAAATAATTTTTACGTAGTGCTCTTTAGATAGCCAGGCAATTGTGGTAAAACCAACTTTTCTTAGGCTGAGGTTAAATGTTTAGTGAGGAGGCTGTTTACAGAAGCATGTTTTAGCTGGAACGTACTTTTAATTTAAAAGACTTAACAGTGAAAAGTAAATCTAAATTACATGCCAGTGTAACACTGTCTAGTGTGGGCACTTTTAAATGGGCCTGATTGAAGGATTCAGAATAGTTAGTCTGTATCCGGAAAAAGAAAAGGAGAACTTGTGGCACCTTAGAGACTAACCAATTTATTTGAGCATAAGCTTTCGTGAGCTACAGCTCACTTCATCGGATGCATGAAGTGGAAAATACAGTCGGGAGATTTATATACATAGAGAACATGAGAAAATGGGTGTTACCATACACACTGTAACCAGAGTGATCAGGTAAGGTGAGCTATTACCAGCGGGGGGGGGCACCTTTTGTAGTGATAATCGAGGTGGGCCATTTCCAGCAGTTGACAAGAACGTCTGAGGAACAGTAGGGGGGAAAATTAAACAAGGGGAAATGGAGTGGATGGGTCATTACACAAAGTAAAACTATTTCCCCTTGTTTGTTTTCCCCCCTACTGTTCCTCAGACGTTCTTGTCAACTGCTGGAAATGGCCCACCTCGATTATCACTACAAAAGGTTCCCCCCTTCCCCCCCCATTGCTCTCCTGCTGGTAATAGCTCACCTTAAGTGATCACTTTGGTTACAGTATGTATGGTAACACCCATTGTTTCATGTTCTCTATGTATATAAATCTCCGCACTGTATTTTCCACTGCATGCATCCAATGAAGTGAGCTGTAGCTCACAAAAGCTTATGCTCAAATAAATTTGTTAGTCTCTAAGGTGCCACAAGTACTCCTTTTCTTTTCACTGATTGAAGGAGAGATCACAGTTAAAGTACTCTAAGCAGAAGAAACTACAGAGTAGGTATCTATTCTTAGATCATTCCCTTTAGTACCTACCACTTAGAAACCACTCCAATAATAAAATCTGAAATACACTAAAAGGAAGAGGTATAAGGTATTTCATAAAATTACCTGGAATTTTGGCCATTGAGATTTTTTAGTAAGGTACTATTACTGAAAGCTAACTTTACTACTTCCTGGTGCTTCTAACCTTAAGCCTGTAGAAAAACTTAATCACGAAATATTAGCCCACACCTTTTAAATAACAACTTTCGCACACCTTTTCTTCCTCATCATGCCCATTACCAGTGGACATACTAAGACAGTGAATAGATAAATTAATAATGGTGTATAAGCATAGTCAAAGATATTAGTTACATTTCATATGCTGCTTGAAGCATATGCATAATATGGCAAGGGATTGGGTTAGTTATCAAAAGATAATGAACTTGTATACACTTTAAAGACCAACATTAAATATTTAGTCATAGCTCACAAAAATTGAGATTTAATTTTTGGAAGGTCATCTTTGTTTTATACAATTTTACAGCAGTCAACTCAATTAATTCCTACGGCATCTATTATACATTTCAACTGCACTAACTGCCTGTATTTCTGTAAGTCTTGTATTTCACATTTTATATCCCACACCACAGTTGCCATCTGAAAATCATTAGCAAATAACTAGATAGGACATGAAATTATAGAAGTATTGGATCAGAACACTTCCATTTTTAACCTCATGGCCTATGTGAGAAGGGAAATGGTATCACAGACAATACCTTGTAAACTGTTATAAATGCATCATATAAAGATTTCCTCAGGGAAATGTTAATGTTGTTGGCCTCAGGGGCTCTATGTATATGCTAATCAGTATTTTTTACAAAATATTTGTTTCAGATAGCGTATTATAGTGCAACTTAGTCAATGGGGTAGTAGGTGAACACTCTTGACTGTCAACCTCTTGAATATTACCTCTGAGCTCAGATTTAATGCGTAGCATCCATGGGTCCACACCCTTTTAAAAAACACAGATATGATTACTTCTATTCCTGAGCAACTTGAATCAAAAAAAGATAAGAGCTCTTTTTAGAATCTCTCCTATAATACTGTATCTCCAAAAATTGACAAGATAAGAGCTAGCTAAATCAACCCAAGAGAGGACAGTGTTATTTCACTTTGATCTCAGCTAAAATTACAGAATTCCACCAGAATAGCCAGGGGTTTTTCTAGGGGCTCGACTTATGCCACTTAGCAGCAGAAGCTGACATAACTATGAGAGTCAAGGAAGTGGCTTAGAGCATCTGTGCTGCAGTGCAGTAGACAAGAAAATAAAATATCACTTGGACCCCAGGGAGGGTGTTTTGTTTTCAAAAAAATTCAGCAAAGCTGACATGCTGTGAGGTAGCTTAGGTTAGATGTTTTAGGTTTGGGGCTGAAATACCTTTTCAAGATGTAGAGCTACCACTAACGTTCACTAGTTTAATATAGCAGGGTTCTGATTCATCATAGCATTATTCCAGTTTATTCTGGTCTAATACTACTAATTTCAAGTTATATTAACATAAAAAACAGATTTCAGAGTAGCAGCCATGTTAGTCTGTATTCGCAGAAAGAAAAGGAGTACTTGGGGCACCTTAGAGACTAACCAATTTATTTGAGCATAAGCTTTCGTGAGCTACAGCTGTAAGGTCTCTAAGGTGCCCCAAGTACTCCTTTTCTTTTTATAAAAACCAGAGTAAAGCAATGAGACTGCAGATGTGCTCTCCCTAAAATTAGAGTACATTCTTTCCTTACATAATTCCTCTTTAACATTGCATATAAACAATAAGGCTTCAAATATACTTAGAACTTGATTAGATCTCAAGAGGTTGACAGTCCATTTTCAGATACAGATCATATTTCAGTCCAGCTCTTATCAACAGACAATATTGAATTTATAGTTATTAGCATTCCATAGTACAGCCTTCTGTGTTCTAATTTACAAAATATTTTGCAATTATTCTAATACTATAAAGCAAATCTTTATATTGCTAGGTACAGTAATTGAATTCTTCATATAACAGGAGATCTATGCCTACTGAAGCAGATAAAGTGACTTTAGTTTGCCAAAATACTGAAAACTGGGGAAGATATAGTCTAATAGGATTTTGACTCCTGGGGCTCAACTTTGTGATAAGCACCAATACAGAAACTTGGATAAATGGGACATGGATCTGGGCTATTCAATACCAGTTTGTACTGAGTAAAGGGCAACAGAGGGTGGAAGAATATGATGCTACAGGCTCCTCACATCCAGTAATTGAATGTCTCCAGTAACCTCCAATACGCTGATCTTTTCAAGTTGTTTAAATCGATGCTTGTACTCCAGGATGTGCACACCATTTATAGCAACCTTGTACTGATGAACATCACAGAAAATTAACAACTGAAAGCAAGAACAGGAACACAACAGGTTTTCACTTAAGTTTTAATTTGATTAAAATGAAGACTCTGTCTAATTCAGAATCAGACAAATTCTTAGCTTCCGCTCCTAAGTGTAGGACCTTACTTAAAATATATATATATATTTTAGTTTAATATTAAAACTGCAAGGGAAAGAATGCAGCTTGGACATACAGAGCATAGTTTACTGAAAATATCACTTGCAACAGGTAAAGGCTAATTCAGGCACTTTCACTTGTTCAAAGGAGAAAGGGGGATTGAATAAAGTATTTTTTTCATAGCAGTAACATACTTTGAATCAATTTTAACTTTTATAGCTGCTTTTTTAGATTTAGTCCCAAACAGTTACACTCACATTTAAGAAAGTTCTTGTCCCTGAATCTTAACTCCTGCTAACTACATGAGATAAAAAGGCTATCATTTAACTATTTCCATTCATTAATACACAGGCATTGTTTGGTTTTTTAATCCTAATTGATGTAACCTTACCTCAAAGTACATTCCTGGGCTGAAAGGGAAATTAGTGACATCTTTTTCCTCTTCTCCCCAGCTATCACAAAGATAGGAATTTCTCACGAAAACTTTTGTTTTCATTCGGGGATTCAGATGCAGTGCAATATCCTTTGAGTCACTTGATTTTAGATTAACAGCAAAGCTGAAAAACATTTTAAGATTACCCTTAGCAAGAGACCGCACATACATCCCAGACAGAGTGCAGCACATTTAATGAAAAATTCAGCAAATGATATACAATAATTATCTTAGAGATACACTGAGTTGTGTTGCCCGATTCATACATAGATTCATAGACTTTAAGGTCAGAAGGGACCATTATGATCATCTAGTCTGACCTGCACAACGCAGGCCACAGAACCTCACCCACCCACTCCTGCAAAAAACCTCTCACCTATGTCTGAGCTCCTATTAGAAAAGGAGTACTTGTGGCACCTTAGAGACTAACCAATTTATGTGAGCATGAGCTTTCATGAGCTACAGCTCACTTCATCTTAGAGACTAACCAATTTATTTGAGCATGAGGTTTCGTGAGCTACAGCTCACTTCATCTCCTACTGAAGTCCTCAAATCGTGGTTTAAAGACTTCAAGGAGCAGAGAATCCTCCAGCAAGTGGTCGGTGCCCCATGCTACAGAGGAAGGTGAAAAACCTCCAGGGCCTCTTCCAATCTGCCCTGGAGGAAAATTCCTTCCCGACCCCCAATATGGCGATCAGCTAAACCCTGAGCATATGGGCAAGATTCACCAGCCAGATACCCAGGAAAGAATTCTCTGTAGTAACTCAGATCCCACCCCATCACAGGCCATTGGGCGTGTTTACCATGAATATTTAAAGATCAATTAATTGCCAAAATCATGTTATCCCATCATACCATCTCCTCCATAAACTTATCGAGTTTAATCTTGAAGCCAGATGGGTCTTTTGCCCCCACTGCTTCCTTTGGAAGGCTAATCCAAAATTTCACTCCTCTGATGGTTAGAAACCTTCGTCTAATTTCAAGTCTAAACTTCCCAATGACCAGTTTATATCCATTTGTTCTTGTGTCCACGTAGGTACTGAGCTTAGATAATTCCTCTCCCTCTCCGGTATTTATCCCTCTGATATATTTATAGAGAGCAATTATATCTCCCCTGATTTAGGAGGTTAATAATATACTATCCAAATTAATGGGTTTTAGGCTTGCCAATTTGTTTGATTAGAAGATAAGGTTTTTGTTCCAAAGTAGGCTTTACAGAGGACCCTTGGTGGTATGACAGGAAGCTCACACTGAGACAAATATAGCCTTAAAGACTTTTTATTAAAATAAATGAAGTTTTAATTAAATGGTAAAATAATTAGAGTTACAAAGTTAAAATTGTATTACTGCTATTTAAAAGATACATATGGTATAATTAAGCTTTGATTAATATCCTTACACTCTTTTTTGATAACCTGGTGGTGAGAGAGACAGGACCAGTCTCGCCTTTGGCGGTTCAGGTTCCTTAATTCTTGAGTGAGAGGTGCAAATCTTAGAAGAAGCTAGAGCTAAGAGCTATTGAAGCTAACTTAGAGTTTATATAACTAACAAACTTAAAACCTAATAAAACTAAGAACAAAAGCTTAGGGAAACCAAGCTTAGCCTAGTCCCCTTGGAACTTAGAAAGTTTAAGAAAAACAAGTACAGGCCTTCTAGCAAGGCCCTCTTTTATAGGGCACAGGTGTCTGAACCCTCCTTTTATGCCCAAACTTTATTTTTTACCCACAAAAATGTAAGGGTACACTTACTCCATAGGCTAGTATGTTTGTACGTATTGATGACATGTACACACATATTAATTACATTAGATTATACACACGTTATTTTTGTTCTCCCGGTTATTTTGGTTCTTTCCTTGTGGTGTACCTCTTAAGCTTGAGGGTATAGACTTGGAAACCCCCTATGCCATTTTACCATTATCTATCTATCTAGGTGAAAGATCCCAGACATAGATATGCCAACTTTCCCTTAGCTCAACATACAGGATATGGCCTGTAGAGCCCTTGCATTACAGCTGAACTTTCTTTAAATATAAATCTATAAACCTATTACAATAAACCAAATCCTTAAACTATAAGAAAAGATATATATGCAAGCAAGCAGGTTAATCCTATAGGCCACAGCTGTTATGTTCATTAGGAACTTAGCAAGCATCAACGCTGTTAAATCAAAAAATACCTACCTTGACATAAATCCTAGTTGGAAAGATTGCAAATCTAGTGCCTCGATCCAGCAAGAGTCACTACACTTGTACATAATTGTTTGCTGGATTGGACCCTTACATTTTTCTCTTAGATCAGTGTTCCTTTTTCCTGCTGCTCATCTTTTATTGTGGATCATTTTTAAAAGAGTACATATACTTGTCTTCTGTCATAGTGTCCATAGCATCACACTGAAAATTTGTTTCCTGTGACAGGAAGAATTGTTCAATGCTAAATCCAGCGGGCACATATGAGCGTCTTACATTGTTAGTAACATGATGCGTAGCATTGGTTTGATATTGTGTGTTATAAATTAAGGCTAAACTGAGACACTCCCAGTTTAGCTCCCTGTATTCATTCTCCATTCTGAAATACTCAGTTTGGTTGAAATAGTCCATGCCTAATCCTAACACAAAAGGTGAGATTATTCACCTGGAGTTCTTCAAGATATGTATCCCTATGGGTGGTCCACTTAAGGTGCGCATGCACCTCCTGCACTTTTGATCAGAGATCGTCGGTACCAGTGCCCATTAGGCCCATGTATGTGCCCTCCACGCAGCCTCATGCCCCATACTAAGGATACACAGGGCTGCGTGGGTGAACCCCCCTTGTTCCTTCTCTACCACAAAGTTCAGCAGAGGAAACTCCGAAGCAATGGGGAAGGAGGGCTCATGGGCACCTGAAGTGGGGCACCCAAAGGGGGACACATCTTAAACACCAGTTACTACACAGCATAAGTAACCTCTCCTCCTTTGAGTAGTGTCCCTATGTCTGCTCCTCTGAAGGTGACTCCAGAGCAGCATTCCTGTAGGGAGAAGTGATCTTTGGAATAGAGTCTAATGCTGAAGACAAAACTTCATTGCCAACTGCAGCATCAACTCTAGAGGCATGAACCAAAGCACAGTAGTTTGAGAAAGTATGTACTGAGGTCCATGTTGCAGCTCTGCTAATTTCAGTAACTGGAACATTGAGCAATGTCATGGAAGTAGATTGCAACCTCATAGAATGGGCTAGAATTCTACAAGGAGACTGAATGTTGAGTCATAACATGAAATGATACACTCAGAGATCCATCTTGGAAGTCTGGGTGGAGAATGTGGATCCTTTGGATCTTTCTGCAATTGACACAAAGAGTGTGGGACACTTTCTGAATGGTTTAGTTCTGTCCAAATACCTTCTGACATCCGGGGTGTGGAAGGCAGCTTCCTTCCTTGTCTGATGCAGTTTTGCGGAGCGGGGGGGAGAAACAAAACAGGAGGTGAATGATCTGGTTGATAATATGAAATTCAGCCAACACTTCAGGTAAAAACTTAGGATGTGATCACAACAAGACCTTTTCCTTGAAGAACACTGTAAATGGGGAAAGGTGGTTTCTGCCATTAAAGCCCCCAGTTCTCCAATCCTCCTGGCAGAAGTGTTGGTCACCAAGAAAGCTATTTTCATTGATAGGTCAAGCAACGAACTTATAGTTAGTGGTTCAAAGCAGCGTTTTATAAGGCATAAGGACAAGGTTCAAGTCTCATATAGGAGTATGTTTTCTAATTTGTGGGAAAAGATTCGTCAGACCTCAGCAAGCAATCTTGACAGAGTGAACAAAAACCAAAAAGCCTTCGACCAGTAAATGAAAGGCTGTCATAGCCACCAAGTGTACCTTGAAAGAACTTTCTCCCAGCAGGCAGCTGACCCACCAGGAAATATCTGTACCTACTGTGGTTGGATCTGTGGCATCTCAGGACCCATATGTAAATCTGTGTTACCGATCATCCTCGAATCAAGGGATCGCTGATGAATGAATGACAGAACTCCTAGTAAGAGCTGATTTTTTAAAATTCCAACAGTTAGTGTAGGACAGTGAAAAGAAGAGCAGATACACCAGAAGTAATATCTCCTTCCCTTCTGAAGTTAAGTATGTTGCATGGACTCCTTTCTACTGTTTAATAGCACATGTTGAACAGGAAGTCTCTAACTCCAAGAACCATCAAGGAGCCATGCCTGGAGCCGCAGAACTTCCAGCTTGGGATGAAGTGTCTGACCGACATCCTGCAATAACAGATGGGAACTGATTGGAAGTTGCCACAGTGGGTGAGAAGTAAACCAAATAAGACGAGGATAACAAACTTGTCTTGGCCAAGTTGGAGCAGACAAAATGACCTTTTCTTTGTCCTGCTTGATCTTGTTGAGAACTTTCAAGAACAAGGACACTAGTGGATAAGCACAAAGAAAACCTTTGTTCATTAAATGAGGAAAGCATCTTGAGATTGATGATCAATACCCACTCTTGAGCAAAACTTCTTGCTCTTTTCTTTGGTTGCATTGGCAAGAAGTTCCACTTCTGGAAATCCCCAGGTTAGAAATATGCTGTTGAGGACTTATGAATCCAATTCCCACTCATAATTCTGGGAGAGGTGCCTGCTGAGATCATCAGCCATGGTGTTCTATATACCCAGAAGGTGAGAAGCTGAGAAGAATATCTGGTGACCATGCACCAATTGCAGAGTTTTATTCCTTCAGCACAGAGTGAGGAGGTGTGTGCTCTCCACCCTGATTGATGTAGAACATGCAGGCCACATTGCCATGATCTTGATGGATTTGGCTTGGATCAGCGGCAGAAGTGGAAGCAAGCTGACTTCCCTCAACTCCAGAACGTTGACATGCAGAAGACTCTCTTGTGAAAACCATTTGCCCTGGATGATGCGAGTGCCAACATGCTCTCCCCATCCCAAAAGAAATGAGTCTGAAATGATGATAGCAGTTGGAGCAGCTGGAAAGAAGAGAATTCCTGCACAGACTTTGAAGGTGTTCTTCCACCAACTGAGCAAGTCCAGAACCCAATGATTAATGGAGACCTGTCTGTTGAGACTGCTTATTGGGTTGTCGACTGTCTTGCGCCATTCCTGGAAACACTGGAGAGTAATTTGGCATGCTGGATCATGAAGACGCATGCTGCCATATCACCCGACAGCTGAAGACAGTTCCTTGATGAAATCTTAGCAATAAGATTCTGTAGATTCACAAACCTGTCCACAGCTGTCACAACCTTGAGAGGCTCCTATGAAATCTGTTGAACCTGAATCAAAATGATCTTTTTGAGACTGATCTGGAGGCCGTAAAGGTGAAACAAGGACTTTGTCATTTGTACGGCCAATAGAACCTCCTGATTGGCTACTCAGGCTGATTCCTATCATCGAGTAAGAGAAGACAGTTACGCCTAAAGGACACTCAGGAGCAACCACAACTGCCGGGGCCTTTGAGAATACCCTGGACACACAGGAGAGGCTAGAAGGGAGCACGCGGTATTTACGTGGCTGACCTGTAAATCAAAGGAACCTCTTGTGAGGGGGTGAATTGCAATGTGGAGATGTGTGTCCTGAAGGTTGAGATATGCAAACCTATCCCTGGAATCTAGAGCGGGAATTATTCCTGTAATGATCACCATCTTGAATTTCTGTTTTCTGCTAATATTGGCCTTCATCCCCCATTCTTTTTGGAGACTAGAAAGTACTTTGAATAAAACCCTTTTCCCCCTGTGCTGAAGTGGAACTGGTTCTACGGCTCCTATGCATAGGAAAGACGCAACTTCCTCACTCAGGAACTGATCATGAGATAGGTCCCTGAAGAGGGATGGGGAAGGAGGGCAGGAGGGAGGGACGGACGGACATGACCTTGATGGAATAACCCCAATGTTAAGACCTCCAAAACCCATATGTCAGATGTTATGTTCTCCCATGCAGACTGAAATTGGGAGAGGTGGTATCCAAAAGGGGTGAGGAGGATGGAATAATGTTGCAGTAAATCTCTGTAGAGTGAGTGGTTCAGACTCTTGGCCAAACCATCAAAACTGATGCTTGGATGACAGGGTGGCTGGGATGAAGTAGCTATGGCAGCAGCAGTCTTCTTTTTTGAGTATTCAGGGCCTCTTGGCTGAGAGTTTCGGTGAACTACAGAAGCTAGAAAAATGAGCTGGGTGAGATCTCTGACGTCTGAGACTAGCTAAACATTTTGTTTGCAGGCGTATAGATCCCAGTGGATCTAAGAGTAGCCATCAAGTCTTTCAAGGTGCGAAGGGAGTAGTTGGTAGACTCCAAAAAACAATATGCGACCATCCAAAGGAAGGTCCTCAAGAGTATTATCTACAGTACCTCCATAGGGAAGCCTGACAACTGGAGCTATGTTGCTTGTTGCATCATGATCACAGTGGAAATGGACCATGCAGCAGTATCAGTTGCATCTATGGAGGCTTGCAATGAGGTTCTCACTAAGAGCTGACCCTCCTGGCTGATGGTCTTGAATTGCTCACAATGCACCTTTCATAGATATTCAGTAAAGGTGTTAAATTATTGTCGTTTAAATAGTCATAGCTTGACATAAGTGCCTGATTGGTTGTAAGGATTACTCCTCCGCAAACAAAGAGGTTGAGCTTCTTCTGGTCCTTATTGTAAGCAGATTTAGCACAGTGTTGGCTATCGTGCTCATTAACCTCTTCCACTATCAAAGTTTGGTGAATAAAAACTCAATCTCTGGCTGGGATGTAGTATTTTTTTTTTATAACCATGCTTTACAAATGGGTGGTACTATAACTGGAGTCTGCCAGATAGTCTTAGAGGGCTCCAATAAAACTTCATTGATTGGAAGGGCTACACATGTGAAATAAGTATGCAAACTGTCCAGGAATTTATTGTGGGAATCCTGGACCTCTTCTAAGGTGATTGGATGCACTTAATCAGTGATGCATTTCATCAGTTCCTGGATCTGTCTGAAGTAATCTGCCATGGAAGGTGAGGTGTTACGACTGAAGCATCATGCACATGTGTAGAATAGGGCTGACCGAAGAACTGTACTTTCCATCATTTGTATTTGGTTGGTTGATAAGTTGTGTCAACATGTTACACAACTGTGATGGTTTTGTAGAGCTGAACATAAATTTTAAACTGAACAGCTGTGGCCCTGAATATACACAGGGTGCAGATCTTAAACAATCACTTGTGAGAGTAGAACTCCACTTTAAGACTCAGGAGCAGTGCTGATTGGCTCCTGAGAAAACGACATCCAGATCTCTTCAGATGGTCACCTTGAGGTAGGATTGAAGATCTGTGTCCTCTGGGCAGGTGCAGGTAAGGAAGAATCAGACTTGATGACAGAGTAACTCAGATATTAATAGGAGTAATGAACAATGACAGTATTACGTTACAATTTAATCTGCTACTAGAATGTAAGAGCACTGCGATTTACTGACCTGTTTGGGTTTTTATTCACTTCTCCTTTGATGACAACTGTCTGTCCAGGACAAAGTGCAGAATTAAGCCTTGCAATGTAAGGAACCACCTGAAAAGGCAACCGTGCTCAGAGTTATAGCCTGTGGCTTTAAATACACATTCTGATGACCCCCATTAGTCACCTCCCTGCTGACAGTCTCTGCTTTTGTATTTTTTTAAGTAATCTGAACATGTCTACCTGTCTTTTTCAAATTTTCCATGTCTTTTAATTAATTATTAATAAATAAAATATTATAAATTAATAAATTTTATAAATTAATTATTATTTAAATTAAATAAATTATTTATTATTAATAAATTAATAAATAAAATAAAATAAAATATTAAATAATTAATTATTCCATGTCTTTTAATTAATTTAATTAATTCACCCACCACTAGGATGATCTAAGTTATGGGTGGGAAGGCAAATAGGCATGTTCATTCCAGAATCCTTTATTTAGTGTTTATAATTAATTTTTAAAATCTTTTGGATAATCAATGGGTCTTTAAAATACTCCAGATAGTACAAGTAGCTTCATCCAGGAGACTTTTCTCTGCAGCCATGGCTACTGCTGGACAATGCAACAGACTAAGTTTCACTTTCCTGAGATAAGAAATTTGTCCTACCTGCAGTAGCAACTGGGTGTTTCCCTTCATGGAATTGACTTGTGCTGTTTACTGAGTTGGAACAAGCCCATTGTTAACATTACAGCCCTGAAGTTGTGAAAAATGTACCAACAGCCCTCTGATTCTGCAATCAGCCCCCTGTGCTGGTGTGGAGGGTCCCTGAGGCTTCACATGGGCATCATCATCCGCCTGAGATGATGAGCCTGCAGGCGCAGGGTGTGTGTGTGTGTGTGTGTGTGTCAGTCAAAGGATTGATATTAAATTCACAGGCTAAAAACTTGTCTAAGCTGGAATCAGTGTTTCAAAGGCTTCTCTGGCTCAATTTAAAGGGACTTCAGTGCCAGCAGTGTTGCCAACTTTCATGATTTTAACACAAGTCTCATGATAGTTGACATGTCTGTTAAAACCCCAGCTCCTGGAAGCATGTGATTAGGTGAGAATCTTGCAACTCCTCTCCATGCAGAGCTCTTACGCCTACAGCCCTCATGATGTACAGGAACTCCTTAATATACTATTATTCCTCCAGCAGTGTGGGCCCTGGCCATGTTCCAGGCACAGGCCATTGGTGCTGATATCAGAATTAAGGATTTGTGCAAGTAAGATGAATGCACTGAGTGTAGTGTGTAGAATTCTTTCAGTAGAAGGTACTTCTCTGGGATGGGCACCATCCAATTGACAATCATTGATTTCAGGAGTGTGTCACAGGGTATTTCCTTTAAATCCATATTTCCTTGCTTTTAAGGGTTGGAGCTGTAGTGGGAATCTGCACTTGAGCAAGCTTATCTGCCTTTTTGGTAAGTTTTTGTGCACAGGATTAAAATTTCACCCATTAATTCAGGCCATGTCTACACTAGCGAGCTTACAGCGGCACAGAGGTACCCATACAGCTGCGCCACTGTAAGATGGCTTGTGTAGCCGCTCTGTGCTGACGGGAAAGAGCTCTTCCATCGACATATGAAAATCACCTCAACGAGTGGCAGTAGCTATGTCAGCGGGGGAAGCTCTCCCGCCAACATAGCGCTGTGCACGCTGCCACTTAATTTTTTGGTTCAGTGGCAGTTCAATAAAAAACAAAATCGGTTTGGTCAAACCAAACTTTTCAGAATTTTCAGTGATTTGAAAAAGTCCATTCTGAATGTGTTCCACAGCAGGGGTTTAAACCTGAGTCTACCCCATCCCAGGAGAGTGCCCTTACCCACTGGGATAAATGTTAAAAGGGGAGGGAGGGGGGACACCTACTCCTCTGGCCACTTTATGAATGGCCGAAACTCTTTGTTTCAAATTTGCAAATAGTTTCAGGTCAGGACTTGATTACAGTCTATAAGCACCTACATGGGGAACAATATTTAAAAATGGGCTCTTCAATCTCGCAGAGAAAGATATAACACAATTCAATGGCTGGAAGTTGAAGCTAAACCAATTCAGATGTTTTAATATTTGCAATTTTCATATATAAAACAATACTTACAAGTTGTGAACCATCAGGCACTACTCCCTACAAATAAATAAATAAAGTTAACTAGAACATCAAAGAATGGGAAGATCACATAACCACAGTATAGGCATACGTACATTTTCTGAGTTTATCTTTGTTATTCCTAAAGATGATGGCTGAGAGCCTTGTGAAGACTGCAGAGGAAAGATATTTAGAGATCACTGCTCACATGTTCAAAAATTCTGATTCTAAACTAAGTTTGTTAGAACTATACACAAAGATGTGTGGCTTTAGACTACTATGGAAATCCTGTGGCTATCGTTAAAAGTTATTCAAAAGACTATCTAGTGAAACCACATTGTGCTACCTAAAAGGATCTGGCTCTAGGTTGGACCCTCACTTGACAGGCCTGAGACCTGTCATCTTGTATTGCTTTTGAGTAACCCTTCAGGCAGATCCTCAATATAGTACTGATGGGATTTTTTGGAGGACACCACATTCAGCATTCCTAAATGGAATGAGGAAGACAATTCTGCAGGGCCTTTAAGGATAGGATCCTAGAGGATCTTGGGATTTCAGTCATCTGGTTTTTTACATTACATAATTCACATGGCGTGTAACTTGAATCTTGAATTTGAATGTTGCTAAACGTGAACAAGCTTTGGCCTAGCCACTTTCATATCAGCTCACAACCTCAACCTGTTTGCTTCAGGGCAACCCTCGCCGTTCTTCATTCATAAGCTAGCAGAACTGTCCCCACTAGCAGGGAAGGAAAACAGAAAGTAGAGAAAATGAAACAACTTTGTGGTCAGCCTCAAAACAGCAACAGAGAAACTATAAAGATACAAAAACAGAAAACCTGTGATTACACGATCATTTTCTTCTACGATTAAGAAAACTTATGTGTTTTTCTCTCTGTATTGCACTTGGAGGCAGAGGTCAAAATGTTCAACACTTGCTGGCCCCAAAACTACACCCAGAATCAGTCTTCCAAAACTGAAACATTCAACTTCAGGTTAACATTTAATCCAGGCATTTAGATGTTGAGGGCCATATAAGTACCCAGATATAGAGCTACATACATGCTGCATATATAAAGGAGCTTGGTGGACACCTCTTCAGAGCTCAGTTGCTGTTTCTTTCAGATACAAAAGAATCTGCCTCTCTTCAATACAGTTATTACCCTGGTGACCTGAGTCAGGCTAGAGGTTTGGTAGAAAACAAGGAAGATTTAAGCTGTGATTAGCAGGTAGAAATCCAGGGAGCTTTCACATAGGAAAAAAAATACTTCCGCCTGAGTTTCTGAGGAATTTTACTTCTTAGGCAGACAAAAGGAATGAGTCAGAGTTTGGTATGGAAGGGGAGAGAACTATTGTCCTACCTAACTGCATTTCTGGGCTGCTCCCCTACCCCTTGTGCTGTGCTGCCTTGTTGCACTCACTAGCCACTGTCTGCACTGGTGTGAAGAGGGGCACTTCCCTTACTGTTTTGCTGGCAATCCCCATGCTGCTGTCTACTGCAGCAAGCTTAATCTCCTCATGCTAGGACAAAGAACAGGGAAGCTGTTGCAGTGGACCTGGCTGCTTCACAAGGGCCTCATTTGACTGACAGCCCAGAAGGCTGAGCTTCACCTCCAGAATAGTAAGGGAGGGATGGGGAGACTCTCATCTGCCCCTTCATACCTGAAGAGTCTGTGGGGTTTTGCATGTCTTCCCTGTGTAATAAATAGAAGTCTTGTCTTCTATACAGGGTTGTGCAGGAGAGAGACCGACTGAGCAGTTCCCTCCCATTGGTTCACCTTCAACAGATTTGGCAGTTTGTCTGAATCAATTAGGAGAAAGCACTGTGCTGCTCCATATCATCTCAAAGCATTGAAGCCCAGCCAGTGGGTGACTCAAAGCTCAAAAAGGTACATTCACCATCTAATCAGCCAATTTAGAGTTTGTTTTGGTCGATAAAGTAAGGTCACATATACAAGTAAACACTCTGTAAAGAGTTCTAGCTCTGTCTTAATGCAAGTGTTTGGAAGTAGATTATTCTGGGAAAGATGCTCCAGGGATCATTTTGAAGCACAAGCAGCTGAAAATTCTGGTCTTTGTCTCCAGGGCGGGTAAATTACACATGCCTATTTCTGCATCCAATCTGTTTTTCATATTAACTGTGATGTAAGTTTGTAGGCTGGGCTTCCCTCCCCAACACAGAAAATTCAAATCCAAAATCGAAAAAAAGACATTCGAACACTGAGCAGAGGAATGATTAGCTGTAGCTCTAGACAAGGCTCAGAGTTGTACAATATAACCTTGTTTATCTGACATTTAAGGAACAAAACATTCAGATAATATTTTGGGGGGATGAATAGGGGAAGAAATCATTATACTGGATATGTCAGGAGACATTACTGTACTTCTATATTGAAGTTAATATAGATTTTATTTCTGTGTTACTTCATTTTCACTGTTGATATCTTACTTCAGTACAGCACAATATGAAGTAGAAAGACATAAGGAAAAGCAACCCAAAATTAACTATCCAATTCAGCAACTTACATTGTTAGAAACAAACGCTATAGTCTGAATCTGTACTTTCCCATATATCCCCAGTGTATCTATTCTTTCCAGGTTAACTCTGTGGTTGTACAGCAGCAAATGTTTTTCATTTACAGACACCTAAAGAGGCAGAAAAAGGCAGAAATGTACTGATATCTGAAATAGTATTTATATACTCAACAGAAGATCACTACTAAACCTTTACATTTCTCTCAATTTTAGTCAGTCGTGTTTTGTTTTAGCTTCTTGCTTTGGAACATGCCTTTGACAACAAAGAATTTAGGTTTAAATTCATTTTCTTTTCCTTCACATTTTGAAATTGAAATAGTGAACATGATGGGTAATATAATAATCATGGTTAAGTTGCATAAAGTCTATTGACTGTTTTGGGGTCTGATTTTCTTGGTTTACCTTGTAATCGCTGACTTCATTTCTTTTTCTTAATATGTTATGTTTAAATATTCCCTTCTCCCCACCCACCCACCCACAAACACTTCTGCTTCTATATATTAGGACCACACCATAATGACCCTACTACACAACCTCGCTAGTGTTACTTGAAATGAATATGGTAATCTGTTTCTTTAACTCAAGAACTACAACGTAGTCCTCAAGTAGTGTGGAGAAAGCTGTACTCCAGCCACTCTGAAAAGCCCTGGAGATAAAATCAAGAGAAGACTAGATGTAATAACCAGGAATTAAACAGCTGTGGAGACAGAGATATTGTCATCTTCCTCCTCCAGAACAAGGTTAAAGTACACCATGGTTCATGGGGTTTGGTAGAGAAACAGAAATACTTGCCTAGTTATGTTTCTTTACAATAGTGTGGAATATTTAATGGCATTCAATAACAAAGATAAATTTACTGCACATTTATAGTTTGGTTTTGATATTTCATCTCTCATCATATTTTGATTCTCTCAGCACATCACCATTTGATGGCATATGGACTAAAGACTTATTTAGAGCTAGGGCTTTGGAGCCGTGCTCCGGCTCCGCCCCAGCTCCAGGCAAAAACCTGCAGCTCCACTGCTCCGGAGCTGCTCCGCGGGCTCAGCTCCAACGCCCTGTTTAGAGCTACACTTGTCTTATCTCAATCTGACGGAGCTGGACAGATATTTGTTTCTCTTTAGTACTTCCTCTGACTGATGCAGAGAGCATTGTCCAGCACTCTTCTGTGTGCAGGAAGGCTGCCGTGTTCAGGAGAAGCCCTTTTGCACACGGGAAAGGAGAGGGGTTGTGTAACAGCTTGTATAATCAGGAAGATATTTGCTCCCTCAACACACAACTCTTCAGGTACAAGTATATAAAAGTAAAGGCATACATTACGCCACAGTGCCCCCCTTTCAGGGAAAGCCTATAGTTTCTCTTTGTAATTAAACTGTACATAACAGTAAACAATACTGACACTGATGCTTCCAAATAAGTTTGCGTTTATGGCATGACAAGTGGCTAAATATTCACCTTCCTTAGGGACTCACCTGGAATTTATCCTTCAAAACCATAAAGACAATCTTAAATGGCTTTCCTTTTTGAAAAGGCATCTCATAAGTGATCTCCTCCCAACCCCATCTTTCTTTTTCCAGAGTGTTACAGATTATGGAACCCGATTTTTTGAAGCGGGGATTGAAGTGAAAGGCCACATCAGCACGAGGTTTTGTGCTACTGCCACATTGGAAGTCCACCTGGAACCTGACCACAAATTAAAACACACATTCAGTTCAGCTCATCCAGAAGTGATCTCTCAACAGATTCATATATCTAATTACATTTTGGTTGTTAATACAAAAACTTTGCATTAAACCTAGTTATGGTGATTACAAAACAGTTAGAAGTAAAAAACTGAAGTGTTACGTACATAATACTAATTTATATCTAACCAAAAATGGGAAGATTTTTAAAGTCACAATGGACAGTTATGCTCCCAGCTCCCACTGAAAATGAATGGGAGTTGGGTGCCTTACTCTCATGTGTTTTCAAAAATCTTCCCCTTAATCTATTACTGAGAACTAGAATAACTTATAAGCATTTCTCAGGTGCTAATCACCATAACATCTGAGCACTTCATACACTTCAATAAATTAATCCTCATTACCCCTCTAAATAATGCTCATTCCCATTTTAAAGATGGAAAAATAAATTAAATGACCAAATTCACATAGGAAACTTGTGGAAGAATAGGTAATAGAACCTAGATCTCAATTCCCTATCCTGGACCTTAGCCACCAGATCATGCATCCTCCCTGCTATTTGAAGCCTGATTCTTCCAGGTGACAACACTTTTATTATTTCAGATACTGCCCTTAGAGAGAAAAGGTTTCTGGATCATAAGAAGTTGAATAAGATCAAAAAAGGGAGGAAACAAAGGGAGCCAAGCGACGAGACAAAAAAGTGGGCAGAGGCCAGGGAGCAAGGTGCGGAGTTACTTATTCTCTTTAAAATTTCACCTTGAAACCTTTATTTACTCCTTAGCTTCCTATTAACACACACACAAATTCAGCATTGTGTGACACTACTGTATATATTCAGAGCATTTTATAAATCAACATATTTTATAAGTGTCTATATGGTGGCAGTTCTCAGTTTTTAAATATAAATTAAAGATTTAAGGATTGTGTCACTTTGAAATATAATGTTAATTACTTTTTCAAAACTGAAAAATGTTTGTTATTGAGGCTGTGGGTTTGTTTCCAAAGATCTCAGCCATTTTCAGTCACACAACTTGGGATCTCATCCAATGTTCATAACAGTAATGAGCCTCTCCACTGGCAGAAGCAGGATCAGGTTTATAATGCCCCAATTTTATGATAGAAAAATTAAAACATTTCCAGTGAATGTGTATCCCACAAGCTATGAAAAGCTGTTTAGTTGGGTTTTGATCAGCTTGCCTTCTCAAAGGCTCATTCACAATATAACCTCTTAAAAGTCATATGGCTTTAGACATTACCTGTCGGAATCATCAGGAACACTTCCCTGTATTACAACTAGTTCTCCAGGAAGGAGACCACTAAGGATTGTCCCAGTGTATGGAATAACCTATGAGAAGGAGGGGAAAATAGAATAAATTCAAAATAACATTTGGGGATGTTTAGGTCAAAAAGAATAATGAAAACAAAACCAATATAGCAAAATTCCCAGTTTTATCTAATGATTTGGAGAGCAAGATTTTCTAAATAACCAACATAACAAGAAAGATGGCCAAACTGCCTAAAAAACAACATGGTTTAAAGGGGGAGTGAAGGCAACTATACAAAATAAAATAAAAAAAATAATAAATGTAAGAAAGGGAAAGTTGATAGTAATGGATATAAAACAGAATCTAGGAATTATAGAAAATTGATAAGGGAAGCAAAGAGACACAAGGAAAAATATATGGCCCGCAGAGTTAAGGACAATAAGAAAAAGGTTTTTTAAGTATATTAAGAACAAAAAGAATCATGACAATAGTATTAGTCCATTACTAAATGGAAATGGTAGAATTATCAATAATAATGCAAAAATGGCAGAAGTGTTAAATAAACATTTCTGTTCTGCATTTGGGGAAAAAAACAAATGATGCGACAAAAATTATTAGGGATATGGAACGGCTTCCGTATGAGGAGAGATTAATAAGACTGGTATTTTTCAGCTTGGAAAAGAGATGGCTAAGGGGACATATGATTGAGATCTATAAAATCATAACTGGTGAAGAGAAAGTAGACAAGGAAGTGTTGTCTACTACTTCTCATAGCACGAGAACTAGCAGTCACCAAATGAAATTAATAGGCAGCAGGTTTAAAACAAATAAAAGGAGGTATTTCCTCACATAACGTACAGTCAACCTGTGGAACTCCTTGCCAGAGGATGTTGTGAAAGCCAAGACCATAACAGGGTTCAAAAAACAACTAGATAAATTCACGGAGGATGGGTCCATCAATGGCTATTAGCCAGGAATGGTGTCCCTAGCCTCTGTTTGCCAGAAGCTGGGAATGAGTGACAGAGGATGGATCACTTGAGGATAACCTGTTCTGTTCATTCCCTCTGGGGCACCTAGCACTGCCCACTGTCGGAAGACAGGATACTGGGCTACATGGACCTTTGGTCTGACCTAGTAGGGCCATTCTTATGATGTAGTCATTTCATATGCTAACACTTTCCATTCTATTAGTATCTCAGGAGGGTGTTAAATAGCAGCTACTAAAAGTCAGACATTTTTAAAACAGCAGGTCCAGATAATTTGACCTAAGAATTTTAAAAGAGCTAGATGAAGAGCTCACTGGACTGCTAGTCTTAGCACACTAGGAAAGGTCCAGAAGATTGGATAAAAAGATAATGTCGTGCCAATTTTTAAAAGTGTAAACAGGATAACCAGATAATTATAGGCCTCTCAGCCTGACATCCATCCTGGGCATGATAAAAGGGCAGTTGATATGGAATTACAGGAAGGTAACATAATTAATGACAATCAACATGCGTTTATGGAAAGTAGGTCCTGTCAACTAATTTATTTATTTTTTATTATTGGATTACAATTTTGGTTGATAAAAGGTAATAGTGTTGATGTAATATAATTAGACTTCTGTAAGGCATTTGACTTGACTTGCATGACATGATTAAAAAACTAGAACAATATACAATTAATATGGTATACACTAAAAATTAAAAACTGGCTAAGTGATTGGTTTCAAAATGTAACTGTAAATGGGGAATTATCAAGTGGGTGTGTTTCTAGTGGGTTTCCAAAGGAATTGGTTCTTGGCCCTGTGCTATTTAACATTTCTATCAATGATCTGGAAGAAAACATAGTATCACTGATAAAGTTGGTAGATGACACTAATTGGAGAAGTGGTAATAACAAGAGGACAAGTCACAGATATACAGCTATCTGGCTCGCTTGGTTGGCTGGGCGCAAGTGCATCTCAGAGTCACACACACACAGCTCCCTGTCCCAGTCTTGTCCAAACTATCCCAATTCTCCCACCACACTGTCTCTTCATTAGATCTGTCCCTCCCACACATTTTTCCCAGCTTCCCACTGATTCCCATTTCCAGTCTACTCCCAGATTCTTATCTAATCTGAGTCTCCCCCTCCCATACCTACCGGCTCCCAGTCCCCTCCTAAGTCCCAGTGTCCCTACTCAAACAGTCCCAGTCCCTCCTCCCGCAACTCCCATTCCCAGTTTCCTGCTCCTCTTCATCAGCCTCCAGTCCCAGTTTCTGACCCTGACCCCTTCTGGTTTCTTGTTCCAATCTACTCTCCCTGCCGCTCCACAGGTCCAGATCTTGTCCTTGTCTTGAACTATGCAGCTTCCTCCTCTATTCTGCCTGGGCCCAGCAGCGGGGTCATTGAGAGCACAGGAGAGACAGGCTCCTTGCTCTCAGTTCATGTGCCCGTCCTTTCATAGCCCATAGCCGTAACTGCAAGTAAAGTCCAGATAAGCCCTGGATTGGAGCATGCTCCATGTGGACAGAAATTTCTGGAAATGTAGCAGTTAATATCTAAGAAGTCTATTGAGCACGTTCAATTTGAGATTTTTCAGAGACTCATAACTGGGCCAAATTTGAGCAGATTTTCACGGGGAAGGCAAAGGCACATCAATTACACAAAAGCTACCCCTTCACCCCCCACCAAATTTCATGTTCCTGCTCCAAAGCATGGACTTTCAAAGAAAACAGGATGGCCACTGACACATCCTCGAACATCAAACATTCCAGTATTTCCGCAACAGCGTGGGCCTGCTCCTGCCTGCATGCCCTTGCATGCATGATGATACTGGACAAAACTATGTCCAGTGCAGGACAGGGACAAAACTTTCCAAAATCAGGACAGTCCAGCTTAAAACCGGACGAATGGCCTGCCTAAAAGAAAAGGTCACCAGAATTTTTTAACAAGGGCAAAATAACACTTTTTACTAGCCTCATTCTTGGCAACAACTCAACCATTTTGGCTGAAATTTTCTAGAAAACGTCAACCCGACTTAGACACCTAGCAAGGAAAATTTTACCCCAGTCAACGTATGAGCAAAGTTATAAGCAACTGAAGACAGTGTCTTCTACTGAGAAGTGTCGGGCAACCTTCATAATAGGCAGTGCTACCAGCTTTGCCTGTAATATAGGCTCATATGTATTTTTATTGGAGGGTGCTATTCCCTTCATAGTTAAGTTTGAAACTAGCTTCCCATTCAACTTCTTCCTTCACATAACCAAAATCAAACCGATACATTAATACATCTTCTGCAAGAACAAGGTCGTGAAACCCACACAAACCTAGAACTACCAAATAATAAAGAATAACACAATGCTGGGTTCAGCCCCGAAAAAGAACATGGAAATTATGAAGAAGAATGGGGAAGATACAGGTAGTTGTTCTGCATGCCAAAAAGCCCAATTCTGTCTCCTAAAAAGGGTATAGCTAAGTGCTCCACCAGATTTAAGTCTCACATTTCCACTGAGATGGGGCAATGCTGACACAACACAATGATAAGACTTGTGATACTCCAAATTTATGAGTGCTCTCTCCTTTTTGGATACACTCTACTTTAACTTTGAAGATATACACAGCTCCAAGTCCCCTACCCCTGTTAACAGGAACTGTACTGAAAGCAGCAGGTCTTATTCTCATATACAGAAGAAATTTGGAGATTTCTCAATATTCCTATCACCACACAAACACCACACAGTTCTGACTAGCTGACATGTAAGAGCAAAGTCCCTTGGGGTAAAGCTGCCCAGTGTTCTCAGGGAGAAGCTGTTTACACAATGGGGAATTACCGGGTTATGGATTGTCTTCTGCAGTTGGTCCAAGGGCATCGTCTTCCCTCCTTCAGCCAAGTCTGTTGGCTAGGTGTGACCAGCGATGGATTTTGAATATAGTTAAATTTCTCACTGTTTTGTTGGCATTGAAGAAAGGATACCTTTGGAAAACCAAAATTAAGTTTTAATTAAAAAAACTGAATGAAGTAATCCTTGTTCAGCCTTCAAAATATTAAATCTTCTTCATGCTTTTTGACATACTATTTTTAACAAGAATTTGCTGGCTTAATTTTACAGTTTCTGCAAGATATGAAAATTAAGTGCTTAGCTGTCCCATTACCCCTTACCATAGGGCAATGTGTACATAGCTACAAAGCTTGCTTAAGAACTCTGGGAATGATTGGTTATATAATCTCTCCCATAGCTCCCCACTGTGCCTGGAAGTGTGGACTATGCACAGTCCTTAAGCATGGTCCACCATTCTCCTTTCTACACAGGTGTCTAGATCTTCTTGTTAGCATGGAAATTGTGGGAGAAGAATGGAGTCACAGTCCCACAGCGGAGCTGAGAAGGAATGGTCCCTGCACCCAGGGACTGCAGTTGTTCCTGGTCCTTATGTGGAAGTGCAAGATGGGAAGGCTCTTTGCACGTTCCTACTTCCTACACAAGAGCCAAGCAAAATCTGGTCTGAAATAAGCAAGAGAGCAATTTTATTTTCTTCTTTTGCTAATTCCTAAATCTCCTGAGGGAGAGTCTGTAGGCTGACCATTACTTTCTCCTGACCAATCAAAAGGCCATGGGTTCTCTTACCTTTGCTAATGTGGTGAAAAGACTAGGAAAAACTACAGCTAAGATGCAAAGTTTCTGTTTTCTATGTCCTTCAGCATATACAATCCCAGATATCAATGAACATTTCAAGGACAGTACTGACAGAGTCACTGAACAGATAGCACTGGACAGCAATGAAACTACAGCTTCTTAGCGTATCTTGTACTCAGCAACCCCTCCCTTCTTCGGAAGGGCATCCCACAGTGACCAGCATGTAATACCCAAATGTAAACCAATAAACAATAATATTATTTGTAGCATTCTATTATGCAAATAAAGGCAATTTCATTTAAGCACACTTAGTGGGGCCTATGTTTGCTGTATTACTGCCTGATATTTGTTACAATATATTTGACCAATAAGAACAAAGTCGACTATTGTACTCATGCATCATGATTTATTTACTTCAGTCTCTCAGTGGAGGTGTGGCCTATTGTAATTTTTTTTATTCTATTTTAATTTTTTCTATATTTTATTATTATGTGGCAACAAAACACTTAGTTCTTCTATCACGTTTTTCATCCATTAATCTCAAAGCAATTTACAAAGAAAGGCAAATATCATTGCCTCATCTTAGAGATGGAGAAACAGAGGCACAGAAGAGATATGATATTCCCAGTACAGAGAAGGCTAGTAGAAGAGCCAGAAATGGAACCCAGATCTTATGACTCTTAATTTGGTAGCCTATTCACTTGACCATGCTGCTGCTTCCCATGACCTGAGACAGCAATCTAGACTTCATTAAAAAAGAGGACTCTGGGACTATAGAAAATGAACAAGCTTGAGAATTCTGTGGCACATGTACAAACTGGCATAGCTATCTGATATTAAGTGTCTCAGCCTGTGGTGCATTTGAAATCTTGGCAGTGTTGCTGGATGCCTTGGACAGTGTGGCAATTTCATACCAAGAAAGTGGGGCATAACATGGAGAGAAAGTTGGAATGTAGGTATTTCTGTATTTCTGGAATGAGGGAATGATATATAATTGCTGGGTTCTGCATGTGGGCGGGGATTCACTGATAGAAATGCACAGCAGATGCCCAAGTTCCTCTCTCTGTCAACAGAGAGAAAATTACTTGCAATATTCATTAAGCTAAAGCACCAATGCTGAAACTGGTGAGCTGCATTATTTCTATTTCTAAATGCGGAGCGGGACTGAAGTTAGGGTTTTCTGGTAAACACATTTCTGCTCCAAAATGAAAAAAAAATTGTAATAACCTTCAATGTCACAATGATGTAATAATATCTCACTAACTCCAAAATATTCCTGGTAATAAACACCAAATAGGCAAATAATCCTGCCATTTGCTATAGTCAGTCAGATTATCATTCTCCATGAGCTTTAAGAATTACTTTAAGAGATGTGGTCAGGTCAATTTAAACGCAAACCACAGATATTGTAAAAAACCAAGTTTTACATAAAAACAATAGTAAGAGAAATATCCCCTTTTTTAAAAAAAGCAGTGCAGTAAAATTGTTACTTTTGATATAAAGGTTCCCCCTGTAATGTCTGTTTCCCAAACTTTCCAAGATTGTGCTAGTACATCAGAACTAGAAAGTGAAGACAGACTTGTATAAAGTGAAAGTGACTCATTTGAGAAAAACCTAAACAGTAAACAAAATAAGACTAGTGTAAAATAAATTAGTTTTTAAAGGTTTCAATTTTAATAATCAGAGGAGTTTTTAACAACACAAGTAAAGGCATATTTTTAAAATATGATTTTAACCTTGCAGGGTCCTTTTAATTTTCTAGTTCTTATTTCTTTCGTATGCTCCCCTCAATGGAGTCAACCCTTTTTTCTGCATCTAAACACATCTGCGTTTTTAAAATTTCAAGTTTTTTTTTCCCCTGACAGGACTGTCACTCTGTTTAAATCATATTTAATTTATATTTAACTTACCTTTGTAAAGAATAACCTCTTCAAAGCTTCAGACTGAAATCTTACTGTAAATCAAATGTATCTGTTTCCATTTTGATCAGTTGTGGGTTAATTTAGCTAGTTACTCTGTTTGCACAGCAAAAATGGTTCCTCCACTTCTATTTCCTGGTTCTCATGCACCAACACAATGACATCACCACATGTACACTGCTCAGAAAGCCTCCTCCCCCAGGCGTTCCTTAAAGAACCAGTGTGTTTCACAGTTCGCTCGCTGATACATAGCTTTATTTTCAGCTGTTCTGTTTCCACCACATGTGGATTACTGTTTCAGACTGTCTTTTTGAAACAAATTGCTTTATTCTTTTTATACTTTATTTTCTTTTCATGCACTTTAAAATAGTTGTTTGAATTTAATCATGGTGAATGAATGAAATTCTTTCTTAAGCTGGATGCTAGCTCTCAGTGCTAGCATCATGGCCCCCGACCATGGCAGCTGGTTGGTATAGGGTGGGGAACTTAAAATCAGCCCCATAATTGTCTTCTGCTCCATTTTGCTTCCAAAAACTTATCAGGAGGCCTGTCAGGAGGATACAGATTTTGCATGACACTAGTGCCTGCAGCCTTGTCTTTCCAACTCAGCACTGAACTGTTTACAGGTAACAGACAGTTGTCTGCAGATGCTCTCCCATGCCACCTAGGACCGCCATGGAGTCTGCTGGGCAGGCAGCCAGGTGACCTCTCTTCAGCTGGAGAATGAGAAGGCCTCAGCTTCAGTAGGACAAGGTAAAGAGGCCCCAATATTGGCCCTAGAGCCTAGACTTGCTACCCTCCAGGTTCCTATCACAAACCCCATCCAAGTAACCCAGGCACCCCTCTGAAGTCCCAGCACAGCCTCCCAAAACAAACTCAGCAATGTGTGACAGCTTCTTTCCTGTCCCTTAAGTAGTCCTAGCTTTTTCATTACTGTTCTTATTCTCCTTACTTCCCAGCCCCATCACATCCACTCCAAGTGTCTGCTTATCTTTGGGAGTGGTTTATATATGTAGAATTGGGATTTGTTGAGTACCATCATGCAGCTGGTACCCTTTGGGAGACTTCTTTCACACCTGTCTCTCCAGCTAGCCTTGATTATGGGGTGCTGTTTGGTGCTTAGTTTCCTCCTAGTGCTCCTTTTGATACACAGGGAGACAAGTTAAAACGCTGAGTCTCAGAGAGAAAACCTCACCCTACGGGGAGCCTGGTCAGGGCCCGCAGCTCCTGGCACAAGGTGGGATTTCCCCCATTTCCCACTTCCAGATTAGCTGCAGGAAGCCAGACATCTTGCAGACATCTGCTACATTGTGAGAGTAATGCAGCAGGATCACATCCTGTTCCAGATTGTCTCTGCCAGGTCTCAGAATCTGCTGTTAACTTGCGACCCTACTTCCTTCTGCAGCCTGGGTATGGAATTGTTGGCTGGTGAGCATAGTCTGTTTCCACTGCATTGCCATGGCCACCGTGGTCCCTCTGCACTGCAGCTGGCAGGTGTAATTGCCAGTTTGGGTAGATATACATGTGCTAGCTCTGCTCAAGATAGTGCACTAAATTAGCATTGTGGCCATGGCAGCATGGGCAGTGGCTCAGGCTTGTAACTAGAATCTCAGACGGGGTTCAGAGTGGTAGCTGTGTTAGTCTGTATCATCAAGTGGTATCAAGTGGAGTGCCCCAAGGGTCGGTCCTGGGGCCGGTTTTGTTCAATATCTTCATAAATGATCTGGAGGATGGTGTGGATTGCACTCTCAGCAAATTTGCGGATGATACTAAACTGGGAGGAGTGGTAGATACGCTGGAGGGGAGGGATAGGATACAGAAGGACCTAGACAAATTGGAGGATTGGGCCAAAAGAAATCTGATGAGGTTCAATAAGGATAAGTGCAGGGTCCTGCACTTAGGACGGAAGAACCCAATGCACAGCTACAGACTAGGGACCGAATGGCTAGGCAGCAGTTCTGCGGAAAAGGACCTAGGGGTGACAGTGGACGAGAAGCTGGATATGAGTCAGCAGTGTGCCCTTGTTGCCAAGAAGGCCAATGGCATTTTGGGATGTATAAGTAGGGGCATAGCGAGCAGATCGAGGGACGTGATCGTTCCCCTCTATTCGACATTGGTGAGGCCTCATCTGGAGTACTGTGTCCAGTTTTGGGCCCCACACTTCAAGAAGGATGTGGATAAATTGGAGAGAGTCCAGCGAAGGGCAACAAAAATGATTAGGGGTCTGGAACACATGAGTTATGAGGAGAGGCTGAGGGAGCTGGGATTGTTTAGCCTGCAGAAGAGAAGAATGAGGGGGGATTTGATAGCTGCTTTCAACTACCTGAAAGGGGGTTCCAAAGAGGATGGCTCTAGACTGTTCTCAATGGTAGCAGATGACAGAACGAGGAGTAATGGTCTCAAGTTGCAGTGGGGGAGGTTTAGATGGGATATTAGGAAAAACTTTTTCACTAAGAGGGTGGTGAAACACTGGAATGCGTTACCTAGGGAGGTGGTAGAATCTCCTTCCTTAGAGGTTTTTAAGGTCAGGCTTGACAAAGCCCTGGCTGGGATGATTTAACTGGGAATTGGTCCTGCTTCGAGCAGGGGGGTTGGACTAGATGACCTTCTGGGGTCCCTTCCAACCCTGATATTCTATGATTCTATGGTCCCTACGGAGTGGACTCTGCCAGGAATCTCTCCGTTGGACTCGCTGAGCAGAGCTCAGGGGGTGAAGCCGGAGTGCTGCCGGCACCGCAGCAGTTTGGCCTCAGGGGGGGGGCGGCTCCGTGGCCTGCCCTGGAGGAACCTTGGCAGCAGAGGTGACACGTGGGGGTATCATGCCATACGCCCTGTGGGCTGCAGCACGGCCTCCCAGTCACCCACTGTGCCTTCTTAGTGCCATGCAGGGCCACTTCCCAGCTCAGAACCAGCTCAACAAGTTGCAGTGGGGGAGGTTTAGGTTGGATATTAGGAAAAATTTTTTCACTAGGAGGGTGGTGAAACACTGGAATGCGTTGCCTAGGGAGGTGGTGGAATCTCCTTCCTTAGAAGTTTTTAAGGTCAGGCTTGACAAAGCCCTGGCTGGGATGATTTAATCGGGGATGGGTCCTGCTTTTGAGCAGGGGGTTGGACTAGATGACCTCCTGAGGTCCCTTCCAACCCTGATATTCTATGATTCTATGATCAAAAACAATGAGGAGTCCTTGTGGCACCTTAGAGACTGATGAATTTATTTGGGCATAAGCTTTCATGGGCTAGACCCACTTCATCAGATGCATCAGACAGGGTTTCTGTTTTTATGATCAGAGCAAGTGCATGTGTGTCTACCTGAGCTGGGCATTACATCTTGAAGCTACGGTTGCCAGGTGTCCGTTTTTTTACCAGAACACTCAGTCGAAAAGGGACCTTAGTGGCTCCAGTCAGCACCGCTAACCAGGCTGTTAAAAGTCTGGTTGCCATTGCAGCAGGGCAGGCAGGCTCGTGCCCAGCTCTGCACAACTCCTGGGAAGTGGCCGGCATATCACTTCAGCTCCTAGGTGGAGGGGGCCTGGGAGGCTCCACGCACAGCCCGCTGAAAATGAGCAAGTGAGTGAGGGTGTGGTTCAGCGAACAACAGAGGGAGAGGGATGGAGTGAGCAGGATGCGGAACCTCGGAGAAGGGGCAGGGCAGGGAGGGGCCTCAGGGAAGGGGCCTGCACAAGGGTGTTCAGTTTTTTGCAATTAGAAAGTTGGCAACTCTACTTGAAGCCAGAGGTGCTGGAACACTTTTTAGAGTGGGGGGGCTGCACCTCCCCTGATCCCTGTCCGTGCTGCCCTTTGCCCCACCTAGAGTTGGGGCCAGGAGCAGGGCCTTGGCTCTGGGACAGGGGGACATGGACAGGGATAAGGGAGCTGAGGCCACAGCTGGGGGCAGACGCGGAACCCCAGGCGCAAGGCTGACAGCTGGGACTCCGCATGCGGGACCAAGACTGGAGTCCCAGGCAGCCTCAGATTAGGAGTGGAACCCTGTGTAAAACCTGGCTGTGCTAAGCACCCCCCACACCCTTAGTTCCTGCGCCTATGCTTGAAGCTGCAGTACAGACCTAGCAAATGAGTGGCTGTCTTCTCTATCAGGAGCCACGAATGGGCAGCAGAAATCAGGAATCGCCCAGGTGTGTGGCACTGATCTGAACCCATGGATGGGATTTCAGAAGCCTACATTTATGTAAAAATAAGCTCTTCGTGGGGTTGCTGAATGTGTTTGTGCTTTCTCTTGGCTGTGATGGGCAGCAACAGTCCCATATACAGTTTGCAGCAGGGAGGGTCAGATCCTCGTGTGGGCTTAGGAAGGGATTAGTGAGAATGGCAGGCAGGGTATTTGCCCAGAGATAGTACCGGGGAGCCCAGTCCTGAACTGAGTCTGTCAGTCCCAGGGTTCCCAACCTCCACTGCTAGTCTCAAGAGCAGCATTTGACTGGGCCTACTTAACTGAAAATATCTGTTCTAGGAATAGTGAGTCCCCTCTCATGGTAGGGCTTGTTTCTCTGGAGTTAATCATATTGCTATGCAGCGGCCTGGTTTTCTTTCCCCTAGTGGGGTCTCTGGATCCCCTCAAGGTAGGTAGGGATCCTGAACAAGCTCAGTGCTGACCTCCCAAATGTCAAATATTATAAAACATTCAGTTATTTGCAGCTTGCAAGTTCTAATTTCCTACTTTTAGCCATTAGAAATGAAACAAGAATCCACCTGCCCCGTCTCATCTGGGTGCTGATGCTTCAAAATGTCGCCAGCTTAAATACCTGTTTATGTAAATAAATATGCATTACTTCCTCATGTTCACAAAATAGAGTACTAAGTTATTTCCATTTACATTGTAAAATAAACCTCCAAGCACAATATTTAAACTGTTATAACTTGTCCAGATTTTCACCAGGATCCTGAAAGGTACCTCTGTTTAACACCTCCCCTGTCAAAGGCAGACTTTTTACTTCCACCTAATGAAGTGCTACTGCTGTTCAAAACAGGCTATCGGAATTGTTTTATAACGGATGAAGGGCCCTTTCTTGAAATGATCACAACCAGCCCTAATATTTACAGGGTTTTGCCCCCTTTTTCCTAACATTTGCCAACCATGCCAAAATCCTCAACTGGGACAGACAGGCCTCCTAGCTCCCACATGTGT